CCCCCCAGGGCTGAAAGGGGCTGCGGGAAAGGGGGGGGGAACTCGTCAGCAGGGGAAGGGATAGGACGAGGGGGAACGGGGTTAAACGGACAGAGGGGAGATTGAGATGGGATCTGAGGCAGAAATTGTTCCCTGTGAGGGGGGTGAGGCCCTGGCACAGGCTGCCCAGAGAAGCTGTGGCTGCCCCCTCCCTGGAAGGGTTCAAGGCCAGGTTGGACGGGGCTTTGGGCAACCTGGGCTGGTGGAAGGTGGCCCTGCCTGGGGCAGGGGGTGGCACTGGATGGGCTTTAAGGTCCCTTCCAGCCCAGACCCTTCTGTGACTATGAATTCACCAGCACTAGCAGCTGCCTGTAGAGCCTTTGCTGTCTTGGCTCCCAGAGGTACCTCAGTTCCAACCCTACGAACAGTCTTAGAGCAGGAGTTGTCTCCCCTGTGCCTGACTTGGGGCCTTCAGGAGAGGGTGACTCTCTCTGCTGGTCTTTGCGGTGTGTGTGTGTCTGGGGTTTTTTGCATGTGGGACCATTCCACTTTCAAGCTTGCAGAGATGTTACGAAACCTCCTTTGGTTGCCTGGACACCTGCATCAGTCTAACTGTTGGTTTCAATATGCCATGAACAATCATTTCCAAATCTCACTCACTGTTTTACTGAGAAGCCTGTGAGAGCACTGTAGCTCAAAGAGCTTTTTTTTGACTGAGGTGAGGGCAAAAAGGAGGCTCATGTTGTTGCCTGTGCTTTGGGCAGCGTGGTGGGAGAGTCAGTGCTGCAGAGCAGGCTCCCTTCCCAGTTGGATGCAGCTGCACCCAGTCCCGGGGCGCTGGGAGTTCATCCATGTCCTCCAGAGGTTGGTGAGGCCAAACTCCTCGGCAGTTCTTCTCAACCTTTGTTTTAAGAAGGTTGGAGAGGAGGATCTGCCTGCTCTGTGCTGAGAGAAGAGCCATCTTCCTTCCCTAAGGACAGCTTCTCAGCAGGTCTCCTATAGATTAGACAGCTTTTCCTTTAGATGCATCAAAAGTTTTGAAAAACTGTAGAACTGACAGATTTATAATGGTTTTAGGTTGGAAAAGTGAGATTTATGTGTGTAGTCCACATATATGTATGGAATATATATGTATTTAGGTTAACTGTGCACCCAAACATCCTTAAGTTAAGGCCTTTTCTGCCAGCTTTTCACTGAGTGAATTTATAACTAAGCATAGTTAGTTAAAAATATCTGAAGAACAGTTTGTAACGAACACACTATACAGCCAAACAGCATTACTGTCACAGCAGTGTCACGTAGGTTGAAAATTCAGATGTCTCTTCCTAACTCAGAAATTCAGTTACTTGAGTGCGTTTTCAGTAGCTGAATGGACGGAAACAGAAGCTCTTGCTTGTTGCTGTACTGCTACAAGCTAACCTTTTAAATGAATTGCAATATACTGTTGATTTAAGCAACTCAAATTAGAAACTGCTTTTTTCTTGGCTGCTTCTTATGCTGGTTTTGGGGAGGGGGGGAACTAGTTTCCAAAAGATTGGGATCCTCCTAAACTAATTAAGCAGGGAGTCCGGACGATTGTTAGGAAACGCGGTGGATGGGCCATGGGGCAGGTCTGGGGAGCTGCCCCCCGTTTGCCCCTCAGTGCCCGAGCGTGGGCTGTCAGGAATCGGCTGATAGCCTCGGTGGTCCTAGATGGTGCTACAGGAAAGGAGGTGCTGCAGGTTGGACTAGAAGTGCTTGACCCTTGGCGTTTGAAAGGAGCTTTGTAGGTATAAAGTGGTTTTCTCAACGGGATGCTTGATCAGGATCCCAGTTCTCTTTCTGCTGGGATCGGGGACACGTACTTCCCCGTAAGGTGTGTGGGAGCTCTGCCTCAGGATGCGGAAGGTCCGAAACCTGGCGCAGGGGGGCTGAGGAGGCTGCGCCGTGCGTGGCGTGATGGTTCGGAGCCTAAACCTTCCCTTTGTCATCCAGTACTGAGACACCGTTCAAACAGGGCTGCGTGCTGTGTCACAACAGACAAAACTTGCAGAGATTTTCTTGATTTCTTTTAAATCTCTGAGGTGAAGTCATTAAAAGAAAGAAGTATGTTGACATGGAAAGAAAGCTCTCTGAATAGAAAAGTTATCTGTGACAAATTTTGAAGCACTGAGTGGAGCTCCATGGAATTTGTTACTGAATATCCTGGGCGACGGAGCAATTCCAAGAAAAAAATAACCTTAATTTCATAATTTCTCTTTCTTTTAGAGATCCTTAGACACATACACGCACACATGAAGAATGCTTGAACTGAGGTGGGTCAGAAGATGCATGTCAATAACTTAATTGATAAAAATAGATTAAAAAATAGTGTTTCTTTTAATGTGATTCATCCAGTAGTTCCTATAAGCCCTTCAGTTGGAGGTTCAGTGTTAAAGTTATGCTGCAAGGTATCCAGATATTTAAACATGTAATTAAAAAATGTGGGTCTTTAGCCTTTTAAATTGTCCCGTTATGGGAACCAGAAAGCAGTGCCCCCTTCTTCAGTAAACCTTCCTGGAGGAAAAAAGTGTTATTTTCTGTTTATTTCTTAAAAAGGGTAATTTCAAAATTCTGTCTTAGATGTAGTTATGCAAGCAGTGGAACTGGCAAAAGATCAGGCGTGGTAACATTTTTGGATGCTGGAGAAAGCAAAATGAATGGTTGGAGCGAGTGTTCCTGCTGCTGCGGAAATAGTAATGTGGGTTAGGTTAAAAAAAGCGTTGTGGTCCTGGTGTATAAAATCACATGCTTATAGACAGATAATCTGGGAATGTAGCACACTGACATCTCCCATCCAATTTCTTTCATTTTCCATAATGTGTTTTAACTTAATGATATTATTGCACGGAATGTTTACCGTGGTTGAGCTGCGCTTATCACCTTTGTCAATGGGGAAGAACAGTTACTCTCTATTTTCTTGAGCGTTAATGACTGTTTATTTCTTGAAACCACCTTTGATCCCCACAGCCTACAGCCTGATGCCATCTCTTTGCGGGCCCTCGTTGCCCTGGTCTGTGTAGCGCACGGACCCAGGCGTTAAGCGGCTCTTCGGGCACAGGGCTCCTTCCTTCAGAAGCTGGTTTTTGCCTTTTGTTTAATTCCGTATGTGCAGCAGAGCCACGGGGCCTGAGTGAGGATGAGACAGTCTGGGGAAGAATTCAGTCTGAAACACTAAATGGGAGCCAGAAGTAGAAGGCTGTACTCAAATTCGCAGAGAGTTAAATGGCTGAGCTGCCTTTTGAAGTACAGATGTCTGCTGAGGAGGAGTTGGAGCTACCCTGTGCTCTCTGAAGGTACTGGAAGTGTTACTGGGGAAGGATGAAGGTGATTCCTTATTTGCTCCCTGTAGGGAACAGTAAAAGATAAGACAATGAAAAATGAAGAGTGATAATTTAAATTGTGCCAAACTAATCTGAGCTCTTTCTTTGGCAACTGATACTCTAAGTAAAAGGAATTCGGTAAATCCCAAATTGTTTTTTTGTGGAGATCATTAAGGTACTTGGTATGATGTCGTGATGACTGGGGAATCCTGGTGAATGAGCTGATTGTGAGGTGAGATGGTGAAGGGCAGAATTATAAGAAGATATTAAGCAAGAGGAGGAGTTCCTTAGGGATAGTCGGAACACTGTCTTGCTTTGATATAATTAACTATTCTAAAAGTTGAAGTGTATTGGGGAGGCTAACTGGAAAAATATATTTAATAGAGCTTGTGTAGAGAAAAATCAGGATAGCAAAAAGGAAAGAAAGCGTTAGGGGTAGGAGTGGGATGAAAATGAGTAATATGAAGTGCAGTGCTCTGTATTTAGCAAAAATTGTGTGAAGGGGAATATTCTTACTAATCTCCATGGCAGTAGTGAAAGCTCACCTGCGATACAGCGTGTGATTCTGGTCGCAGACCGAAGGCTCCTGCCAAGTCCAGCAGCCACAGAGGGGACCTGAGAGGGGACGGTCTGAACCGCTGTGCGCGGGGTCAGGCAGGGGGTCCCCGAGCAGGGGGTCCCTGAACGCTGTCAGGTACGTCTGGAGGGGGCAGAAAGCACGGCGGGGCAGGGGCTGATCACCCTTTATGAAAGGTGACTTACTGTGTTCTGGTGGGCCTGGGCTCCAGCTCGACTCGGTCTTTAACATTTGTCATTTTTTTGTTACGTGCACTGTCTCACTTCCAGCACTTCTGCAAAGAACCGTGTCACAGTGGTTTGTGTTTAGCTGGGATGATGCAAAATGTCCACGTGAAGCTTCCTGCGAGGGAAGGTGCTGGTGAGGAAGGTTTCCTTTCAGCAGGTTTTTATGAGGACTTGACGTCCAGAATGTGTAGGACAAGGCCGTTCCTTCCGTTTCTAGCCTTGATCTGTAGTGTCCTTCTGGCACTTCAGTTTTCAGTAAACAAAATAGACTCCTCTGCCCCACAAAAGACCGCTCACAGCTTTATACTTCTATGATGTTTATGAGATTAACAGCATATCCTAGTGTTTGTCAGGTTTACTGTATTTGGTAGCAGCGCTGATGCTGTCAGCACCCGCAGTGTCCGGCAGGTTGGGGGGGTTTTTCATACTTTCCCGTTATGGTCTATCTCTCGCTGTGATGTAGGCACTGGAGGCCTTTCTTCCACTTACATAAATCATTGATTGTTGCAATTATGGCTGATGAGCATGACTCGGAAATACTAATAATACAGAAACTTCCCAAACCCTTTCGTGCAAATTGTCTATAGTGCAGTCACGTGGTTTCCCTCTGTGGCCGGCCTTGACTCTAATCCAGCAAAGCATTTCTGGGTATGAACAGAATCTCTGATTTTTATAGTTCATGCATATATTGTGTCCATTGTTGATCTCATCCAGCTATAATCGAAGTTGTGTTAGTTTTCTGGCGTGAAAAGTGTTAATTTTGTTTACAGAATTTTTTACGAGCTGGCTGTCAGCTGTATGGAGGTATTCTGCTCAGTTCTAAAGGGGGAATAAATAACGAAGGTGGCTGATTAACTTGCGCTCTTTGCGTTACAGCTAGTTGTGTCCCATCAACATGTTCTGGAAGTTCGATTTGAACACGACATCACATGTGGACAAGCTGCTGGATAAAGAAGATGTGACGCTTCACGAGCTGATGGACGAAGATGACATCTTACAGGAGTGCAAGGCTCAGAACCGCAAGCTGCTGGACTTCCTCTGCCAGCAGCACTGCATGGAGGAGCTGGTCAACCTCATCACACATGAGCCCCCCGTGGATATGGACGAGAAGGTCCGCTTCAAGTAGGTATTTGTTTTCTCTCCTATATGAAGAAAACTCTGTGAGAGCTCGTGGGCTTGGAAATGCTCTGGTGAGAGATGGGTGTCACCTTGTCAGTCTTGGGAGAAGGGCTTTCCAGTGCTGTGAAACAGTTTCACAGCATTTTGTTATTTGTGGAAAACTTTCAGAAGCTCCTTTCTTTAATTTTAATGGTTTAATATTGAGCTTGTCTAAGGAAAAAAAAAAATCTTTTGCTGTTTGTTCAAAACTTTGCAAGCAAAATAATCGGTATCTCCAAAGTACCTTTAGTATGTTTTTATCAAAACTGCAAGCAAAGAGCATTCTGCTGTGAGTTAGAAGTTTCTGAACTTGATTGGATTTCAAGTAGTCAAGCCCACAAAAGAAAATGAGCTGTACAGTGAATAAAAGATGTAATATTTTCTCTGTGCTGCATATGCAAAAGCTGCTGGGTTTGGTGATGGTGCAGTTAACCCTGTGAAGAGCCTGTTTCCTACCACGGTGAACTCTTTTGATGTGTTTGGTTCTCATAGCAAGTTGTGTTTATACGTTTTGAACTAAATGTATACTTGAAAATATTTACATTTTGGATTTAGGCTGTTTGTTTTTCTTTAAGTTTATGTAAAAATAAAAGGCTGCTCTGTGTATAAATAAATAAATAAACCCAGGCAAGTTTGTCACTGTGGGAATGGATCAGTGTTGGTTGTTGCTGCTGTTGGTTGCAATCCACAGAAGAATGGGTAGTGTTGTTTGGGTTTATTATTAGGTGAGGCAGTTATCAACTGTGTTTAGGTGACTGTTTCCAGGTAAGTGAATGCCAGGAAATACGTTATGTAGTGACTTGGAATATTATCTGGCTACTTTTGCAAAGCTTCTGCTATAAAAGGTAGATTTTGCCAGAGGAGAGAGTGAGGGATTCCAGTCCCGTGCCAGTAGGAATTCATACACTGTCCGTACCACTGCAGAATACTCCACCGCCTCAGTTAACTGTGTTTTTAAGTCCTGTTCTGCTTGAGATTTTGGGGGCTGCTGTCAGGAGACAGTTTATGTTTTTGCTGAAGGGGTGGAAGTGGAAACATTTTCCTATTGTAACCAAACAGATTATGAATAAGGGAAGGTGGGGACAAACGAATTTCTCAATAAGCAAAGTCCTTAATGCAAACCAGAACGGAGAGGAAAGCTCAGTGTGTTTGTGCCCAGACATCCTGGAGTTTCCCAGGCGGGCCCGCAGGCCTTTCCATCGGAGTCTGGAGGCAGCGTGTGGGGGAGGCAGCTCAAGGCCAGGCTGGAGGATGGGGAGGCCCAGGCCAGGATGGGCAGTGGGGGGCAGAGGCCAGCCCCCAGCAGCATGGTCCCCTTGGCTGGCAAGATGGAGGCACGTCTTGTGTTGGGAAGGGCTCGAGTTAGCAGTGTCGTTCACCGATCTCATCTCATCAGTGTCATCGAGCGCTGGCGGCGCGTCGTCTTCCTCTTTGAAGAGCGGCCCGTAAGGTGTCTGCTCAAAAGGCTGGTCTGGTGCTGGAAGTGTGGTTATACACGAAAGACAGATAGTGAGTCTTCAGCTGGCAACGAGAACTGCGTAGTGACCTGCTTGCCAGGACAAATAGAGCTGGTCTTTAGGAGGTTTGTTTTGTTTATTTTTTTAAATGCTTCCAGTACCACAGGTAGACCAGGCAGAGAAGCGCTTCCAAAGCATGGCGAGGCACTGGAGAGGGGAAAGAGGGTTAAGCTTATTAGAAACTGGGGAAGCTTTTGGAATAAATAAAGGCTAAACTGGAAGAACGGACTGTCTGAATCCAAACGGAATCCAATTTTTGGCTCGTAAGTAAAGGTTATGAAAGTTTCTAAACTGGAACAGGGGAAGAAACTTGATAGGTTTGGAAGGAGATGCACGCTGTGGAAATGGAATCATCAAAATGCTTTATTCTTGAAACGTCTGCAGGATGGAAGTTCATAAAGTTCAGAAGGGAAACTGCAAAGAGGAAACTAAGCAACCAGATGAAGACCCATTGCAAAGAAGTGTGTAAATGGTTTGAACAGCCGATTTATAATGAACTTCTTGCCGTAGTAGGGTGTCTCATAAACCTGCTTAGACCGTGCCGTAACGAGAGTACAGCTTATAGGAAAGGCAGAGCAGACTGTGCTGGTGTAAGAGCAGGCTTCAGGGGAGGGAGGCCTGGGTAAGTTAGTTGCAGCGTGGGGACCTTACGGGCTGGGATGAATAGGAAGGGTGAAGTATTAGATCCAACTGTGTGAAACTTGGAGACTGCAGAGGCTGCAAGAGCAGAACGTGCTGTAACAATGAGAGATTTCATTTATCCTGCTGTTGACAGGACATATATCACAGGGGGGCACAGTGCATGAGGTTTTAGGAATCGTGAATGCCTTTTGCATGGAGCAGTGAGCCAAAAAAAAGAGAAATAAGTCTTTATATACCCTTGGGGGCTCTAAGAAATGTAACTGTTGTAAAATCACTTTGTAATAGTAACTATAATGTACTCAGATTTAACATCCTCACAGGAGCAAAAAAGACATAAACAGCATTATCGTGGGCTTGGGGTTGTTTTTCTAACTTTTAGGAATGGAACTACATAAATATGAGGCGGCTAGTTAGAAAGTAAATGGTACTATGAAAGGGTAAAAAGCTCACAGCTGGCCTGGAAACATTTCAGTGACTCATGGTAAATGCAGAGCTTGTATTACAAAGATTTAAAAAAATCTTAATGTAGAAAACTGACTCAGTTAAAACCAAATAATCCATTACAGGTAAAAGTACATCCTCACAAAAGGGAGGTTGTGTCCAGATAAAGAAAAAGAATATAGTGGTGAGGTAACCCGTGAGACTGGACAAAGGGATTTTTATTTTTGAGCAGCAGTTTGCTAAAGGCAAAGCCACTGATACTCTAAACCCATCAGAATAAGGAAGGCTCTCCGAGAACGTGTGGGGCGGGGGGGTGATCCGAGTCTAAAGGAGGATGTGACCGTGCTGTGTGACCTGTTCACATGTGAGGTAAAAGGGGAGATGGATTGTAGATGTAGAAAGTTGATAATGCAGAATTGCTTAGGTTAGTTAAAAGGTAGAAAGATTTCATGCTGTTATATGGCCCTGTAGTAATAAAGCAAATGCTGTCGGTGCTGGTTGTGCAGTGACTGGTGGCCCGAGTGACACGCGCACATGGACGGGCTGTGGATTACTTTTTAGGTCTCGGGGAAGGCTTTGGAGTCCTCGTGGGCTGGAAATGATTGATGTGTGTTCGTGATTGAAAGCACAAGGCCCTACACGGAGCAATTCAGTGGGGGTACCGGAAAAGTTATCGTCCTGTAACACTTACCTTTGCTCTTTATATACTACCAGGGCCAGAGGTATTTTCCTTGTTAAAAACCAAATGGAAGTGTGATGAGTAAAGTAAGGCTTAAATTGGGAAGACTGAGGTGTGGAATTTCTTCCGAAATAAAAATTCTGTTCAAAGAACATGAGAAAACCAAACCAGCAGCAGTTATTAGGGTAAAGGTGGGCATAGAATGATGTACTTGAAAGCAAAATAACTGAAAGGAAGCTCCAGCTTAAGCTGTGAGTTGGAGAGCCAAGGGCCAGTGGAGCAGCCTGCCAGCTAAGCCCTGTGTAAACGCTGGGCTGAAAGCCACCAGGCATCACCCCTGGGTCCAGCTGAGGCGCAGCCCTGGGCAGGACGGGCAGGAGGACGGACGGCCCGAGAGCGGGCTGCAGGGCTCCTGGCTCCAGAGCTGCAAATGCCAACAACAGCCACGTGGATCGGATGAAAAGCTCTTCCTTCCCTGGTGTCTGGTCCCCGGCAGCAATGGCTTTACACGGTGGCACGCTCAAGCGTGCTGTGCTGGAGAGAACGTACCGTCAGTTCACACAAGGACACAATATTTTTCCTATCTCTTCCTTCTTGTATGATTTCCAGGAATCCCTGTGTCTGTCTTGTCACTCCAAGAACTGAGCTGAAATTTCCAAAGACCTGCAATAATTCCACAATTTCTTCCCTGAAAGGTGGTCACCAGCTTAGGAAGTGTTGCCAGACGTAGAAATGTGCTGTGTCTGGGGAGGTGGGGGGTCAGAGCTCAGAGCAGAGGGTCCCGTTTCAAGTTTGGGAGGTGCTGTTACGATTTCATCTTGATTTTCTGTTAATGAGGTTCAGAGCAGAAATCAAACCAGTTTCAGCTAAGAGGGGAAAAAAAAACAGGTAAACACTCAACCTGGATTCTGTTACCCACTCAGAGGTCTTAGTGCAAAGGTGGTAGAGATGTGAGAGGTACCTGGTCATTTCACAGCTTTTCTGCCTGTTTTTTTTCTATTGAGATTGAAACTAGGGGGGAAAAAACCCCCAAACCCTTGCTGTGTATTGGAGCATTGTTTCAGCTGCACCGTTGTACAGAGGTGAAGGTGTTCCCTCTGTGGTGTAGCAACAGGCGTATTATTGCAGGAGTGTTTTATATCGATCTTGGATTTGGCTTGTGTCTGAAGTCACAAAAAGTGGTAGACCTTGCGTAATGATTAGAAGTGGGAAATCTGTTGGGTTTGTGTCTTACGGAACGGCACAATTTTATGTGGAAAGCAAATGTGCTACTTAAAGAACAAACATGCATTTACAACAAGTGTGTTCTGTAGGTTTTTAAATGTTATTAATATAGGTGACCTTTATTAAATTACACAGTAAATTTTCTTTTTGCTTTTGGAAAAAAAAATATATATATAAGATAACCAGCTCTGCTCACAGACAGAAAATGCTCAAACTGTAAAGGACGGGTTTTGTTTTAATCTGTATCTCTTGGTACCAAATCAAAACTACTTTAGGCAACATGGGTAAGAACTGGCCCTCAGCGGGAGGTTTGGTGCTCAGAGTTGCTGCTTTGTGCTTAGAACCACTGGAGCACGCCCCGGCAGAGTCTTTAACCAGTTAGTGGGGTGAGAGTAAATCATGGTTTGAAAAATAAAGTCCAGCTGCCTTTTGACTCTGGGATCATATGTGTCATTGAAAGTGTGAAAATGGTGTTAAAGTTCAGTGCCAGGTTGAGTTTCAGAGCAGTGGTGAGCTGCTGTTTCTGATGACGGTCACCTCTGCGTGATGGTGATAGGCCTTTTCCGAAGGAGCCCTCTGCAGCCCTTCGCACAGATGGACAGTAGCTAGAATGTGAAACAGAGACACTAATCTAACACTGAAACGCTGAAACGAGGTCTTAAAAAAATAAAAGATAGACGAATTTCAGTGTTGCAGGGTGCGTGCAAGGCGGCCTCCCATCCCCTGCTTAATTCCTCCGTCGCGTGAGTAATGGAGAGACTGAATCAGGGAAATGTTTGCACAACGGTGCCGAGGAGCTGCACGGGGCCGGTGGCTTCTCACGTAGAATTTCACCCTCCAGAAACTTTAGTCTTCTAGCAAAGCTAACAGTCCCCAAAGAGCATTTTTTTGGTGTTGATTTAAGATTATTGTTTTGTATGTATGCACTTCGATATTTGAGACCTCGTCTAATTATAAACATAATATTAATTATAAACACATTATTACATTTTCTGATCATAAATGTGACCTATTTCTAAAAGCACCACCTGGAAGAGCAGAAAAGAAGTCAGGGGAAAAAAAAAAAAAAAAGGATTTCATTAGCTGTCAAATACTATTTCATATGCTGATTTAAGTGAGCAAAAGCATCTAAACCAGGCATGGTAATGTTTTGTGAAAAACAAGTTAATTTTACAGATTATAGACACCACTGAAAAATCAGAACTCGGAAGGTTGGCTGTGAATTGCTTGCTTGAACGTAGTGTGTGCTCATTTGTTAGGAGTTTTGTTAGATCTAATACTCTGTCTCTAAATTTAAATTTGATTTTAAAAGAAAAAGTGTTTATTTTTAATTCAGCTCCAGTAGTGGAAAGAATAATTTCTCAGAAACATTAGAGAAAGCTGCTAAAATATGCATTCTTCAAATCAACCTTCAATTTTGGGGTTAATTTTAGTTGTGCAAATGGATTCATGTTAAAAGACTTCAAGAGATTTTAAGCGTGTTGAAACTGCTTAAGCATCACTCTTACAAATCACAACTAGCTGCAGTTTGAAGGCAGCTGAGATGCATAATTCAGTGGTTAAAAAAACCACATGATGTGCTACAGGAAATAGTGTTTCTTCAAAATGTGCCTTAATGCAGATGACCCTTGTTTCGCGTGTGTGTGTTGGTTTTTTTTTTTTTTTTCCCCCTGTCTCCAGGAAGGGCGATCCTCCTACTCTCTATAACTTTAATAAGGGAAGATTTTCTTGAGAGTTTTCATTTCACCTTTAGTTGCTCTGGTTCTGTCCTTCCAGATATCCAAACACAGCCTGTGAACTGCTGACCTCGGATGTGCCGCAGATCAACGACAAGCTAGGAGGGGATGAAACTCTGCTGAATATCCTCTATGACTTCTTGGATCACGAGCCTCCTTTGAACCCTTTGCTTGCCAGTTTCTTCAGTAAGACTATTGGGAATCTCATTGCAAGAAAAACGGAGCAGGTAGTGATTAGATTTGTCCTGATATGTAAGCACAAATTAATGCGCTGCCGTTGTTTGTGTTGTGTGGCAGCATTACTGCTACCCTCGTGAGCTCGTGGTATTGCTGGAAAATAGCTCGCTCTGCTCTTAAAGGTTGGAGGCACAATGTAGTCTCTGAAAAGTTCTTTGGGCTCCTCAGCTGAGGAAGATGCTGGTTTATGTAGACACCTTTGCATAGTTCTGGGTTTAGATCTGCAGTAGCTGGGATATTCCTGTGCTACAGCTAAAGCCTTATTTTGCATACTAAGGCATATTGCTGCATCCTTTGATCGTTGCCCAGAATCGTCTCGTTACATAAACAGTGTCTCAGTCTCATGCCTATAAAAGGGGTGCTGGAAACATGAGCTGAACGGTGTTTTAGGAATACACGTGTTCCGCTTTAAAATTGAATTTTTAAATGAAGGCTGTCAGAGAGCCTTAATGGAGTGGAAAATTCTCCAGCTTCACCAGCTTCTTGACGCTCTTATTTCTGTGGGCTTGGGTTTCTTTGTGGCATAGAAGAAAGAAAAGATAGCTAAAAAGAATTTATTTCATATTGCCTTGAAGCGAGAACATTATTTTCTTGTTCTCTGGAGAATTTCCCAACCTTGTAGCCACTTCGCATCAAGGTTGGTTGGTTGAGGCAAGAAGGTAAAGTATAGGAGGTTCTGTGTGCCATGTGTTGTACTAGCGACTGATGATGACACCTTTATTTTTAGGTGATTGCATTTTTAAGGAAAAAAGACAAATTTATTAGCCTGGTGCTAAAGCATATAGATACATCAGCAATGATGGACCTCCTACTTCGTCTAATCAGCTGTGTGGAGCCTGCAACTCTACGGCAGGAAGTACTGAATGTGAGAAACTTTTTTTTTTTCTTTACAAGATTGGGAACAAGGGGTTTTGTTTGTTTGTGTCTTAAAGAAATAAAATTCTTCTTGTTTTATTATGAGAGCGGATCCACTCTCCTGAAAACTTTTTCTTAGTGCTAGAGTGTGCACGTCGGTTACTTTGGGTATTTCAGCCCGTTTGCTTGCACGGCAGGAGAGCCCTGCTTCAGTCCCTGGCAGTAAAGGATTTCCAACTCATTTTTCCATCTAGCAACCACTATTTACTCCAGCTGTTTTTGCTGCAGAGCTTTGACAGAGGAAATTTGTAATCTTTCCCAGCATTCAGAATTTTAGACTGGTCGTTTGGGACCGTACCTTGTTTAATTCCTTGCTGTGTTCAAGGGTGTGTGTGACTTCTGTAGATGATACCTCGTGCCACCTCCTTCCCCTTCCTCTTTAACAGGCAGCCTTATAAAATACCTTATGGAGATGTGGAGTTTGCTTTACAGGTAGGACAAGTTTTTCTGCCTGCGTTGCTCAGTCTGGGTGAGGCTGCCTCATCCCCCCTTTAGTGGGCAGATGTGCAGGATTGGAGGGAAAAGCCCCTCCTTTGGCTCCCTCTCAGCAAACCAGAAGAGCTCTGTGGGGTTCCCTGCAGCCCACGCCAGGATTTCTGTGTTTGGCGACTGTGTGAGGAGCCCTGAGCGTGGCACAGTTTTCAGCTGGTTAGGCATCAAATGGTAGTGCCAAGAAAGGACACGGGAGGAAAAAGCCCTTGAGAGGTGGGCTGATGGTGGAGAACGGTGATGGAGGATTCCCTGGAGGAGAAAGCAGCTTTGCAGAAAAGGTCCAACTGCATCCCCCCACGGCCCGAGGACAGGGATTGCTCCCCTCTGCTCAGTGCTGGTGAGACCTGTGAGGATACTGGGGCAGGCTGGGGCTCACTGGTGCAGGACAGACTTTGCAATAGTGCAGCATAATACTACCAAGACAAATGTGATTATTTTTTCATCTGATGTTAAAATGGCATTTTAACTGAGTAGTGTTTTTCCTGGATGGATGGCTTCTGTCCAGGAAACTTCCAAAATATTCAGGTTTCCAAATATCAACTGTCCATAAACAGGCACATCTGGATGGGATATATTTTAACTCCATCCTATCCAGTTAATCCTACCTGTTAAAGATTTCACACAACTAAAAAAACCCAACCAAGAACAAAAAAACAAAGTGAAGATACCGAGTGGCACTGGAGGTGCACCTGAAGGTTGGGGTTTTTTTTGCAAATTAATGTAAGTATTATAATGTAAGTGTTATCCCCAAGCATTTAAAAATCTGATGGCTTAACTTCCTCAGTCAAATAAAAGGTAGTAGCGATACTGAAATTTGGGATCGAATGTTTAGAGAAGCTACTTAGCAGCAATTTTGGCAATATATACTCAGAAACTTAAGTCTCCAGAAAAGTTATTTTGCAGTCTTGATTTTTGGTAGGTATTAGAAATAAAAGTTATACTTCATGGACTGCTTCAGCTTTTCATCACATCATGAAAAAATTATGGTCTGTCAGCTGGTAGCTAGGATGGCTGCAAATTGTTTGCTGTCTCAAAACAGTCTTCAGATTTCTTTGGGATGCTGGATGCCTCAGGGAGGTATCAGGCTATTTTGAGTGTTAGCAAGAGGAGAAGTATTAGGATTAATTTTTCAGGAACTCTGAAAGCAGCAGTTGGCTGATCTTCCTAGGGTCTCGCTCCTGCTTAGCCACTCCTCTCCCACTCCTAACTGCTGAAATTCAGGAGAACGTGGTCCGTCGAGCAGCGCAGTAGATGGGAACCGTAAGACCATGCGCCCCTGATGGAACAGCACAGCAGAGTCCTTCTGTCTTAGGATCTGGATCTGAGCTGCACTTTTTCATTTGTGTGCATTTAATTAACTTCTCGTGGATTCTGTCATAAATTCCTATGTGTTGTCATCTCCTGCTGAACAGTTTCCACTTGATTGATTGCTCTATCCATATGTTGAACCTGCAGGCAAATGTCAGGCACTAACAGTGCTGTGTGTTGAAAGTATGGCTTCAAATGCCATACCCGGGTTTTTTCCCTGTCTGCACATCCTCCTCCATGCAGTACCTCGTGTTTGGGATAGACATCCTGTGCTGTAGATTTTTGCCTAGCTGTTTATCAGTTGCTTTTGTAGCACAGTGACAGCAGTTCAGTTTAGCATTTGAAGGTTCCCCTGCTCCTGGCCGGTGTCTGAGGAGATCTGACAGTACACCAGGGGCTCCAGATACGTTCCAGCTACTTCACAAGTACAACGTGAATGTCATCTGGGCAGCAAAACGCCTTCCGCGTTGTGTTGGTGTGACATAGCAAAAGTGAGAACTTTGCTGCCCAAGTAAGGTTTGAGAAGCACCATTTGTCACTAGAAAGTGCTGCTGTCGAGCGTCCCTCACTTAGGGGTGTCCCCTGGATGTTGCTGTGCTGGCCAAATCCTGTGAACCTCAGCTGGTTTGTTATGTTTTTCTTGCTGTCTGAAAAAGGTAGTTTTTCAGTGTCAGATTTACATGGATGACGTCTTAAGTTTTAAGTTAAACAAAATTATATTCTGCATAGCAAGTCCCACAGCACCTCTCCTTAGGGGTTTGATGTCCACGCTGTTGCTTTGACTCGGTAAGTCAGAGACTCCCTGATAATTGCACAAGAGTCTCATTCTCTGGTCTTCCCTCTTCGAGATCCTTTGCCTCTGAGAGCTGGGCAGTGCTGGTGGCTCCGTTCTCTGCCCTGTTTTCTGCTGAATGGACCTTTTCAAGAGTGTGCTTGATGTTTCCTTGTCTACCCCTTGCTCAGCTGGTGTTAGCCAGGGTGGAGGCTCTCCCTTCCCGCACCGAGTGGATCTGGGCCCCGGGAGGAGACAGTCCTGCTGTCACCTCTGTGCTGCTTGTTCCACCCGGCCAGCTCCCCATCAGTCACTGCCAGGGAGACCTTCATGTAAGGTGACATGCGCTAGGGAATTGATACAACTGCAAACACCTCTCTTTTATTTGTATTTTTTGCCAGGATTGTTTCCAGCCAGCTCAATACCTTGATTTGGGTGGTTTTGTTTGGGTTTTTTTGCATGGACTTGTCCAGTGATAAGGGAGGAGAAAGGAGCAGAAGATAAGTGGCTGCATCATTTTATATGTTCTTAAACTGTTTGCAGAGCTACAGTTCATGGTGTTTTTCCCCTTCCTCTTCCTTGATTTATAAGTGAGGGCACACCATTACAGTGAAAAGATGGTAATTTATCCATTTCCTTCTGTTCGTGCGTGACAGAGGAATGCTTTGTTTGCCTAGCTCAGATTTTGTTCTTTTGGAGAGCAAAAACCTTAGGAAGAAGAAATTCTAGCACATGCTGTTCCTCTGTACTTGTGCCCTGAGCTGGACAGAAGCACTGCTGGTCAGGGAAGCCTCCAGACTGGGCAGCCCACGGGCAGGGGCAATGTCAGTGAAATGATCTGTTATCCACATCGCATCTTTACAGCCCTGTCTCCTCCCTGTTGCCGGACTCTCACAATTAAAAATACTAGAAGAGTCTTCATCAGAAACCGTTAAGGAGGTCCTTCCAGCAGACTTGTCTTTCAGGCATCTACATTTTGATTTCCTTGGACAAATCTGACATGCAGATGGATGACAGCATTTTCTCTTTGATCGGTGTCATTTGATCATGAAATGTCTCTGGATTTGTGAAAGAAATAATATTGTCTTTAAATAATTATTGCGCAGCAAGAAAGCTCCAATATGGGTTGCTTCTGGAAGCTATTTTAATATCAGGACAGATAAATGGCATCAAAGAAGTCTGTCCTCTGTCTGCATGTTATTAATATAAAATCTTATATAGAAGAATGTGAAGAGGCACAACTGCTGTGAGAAGGCTCCATGTCTGATTTTGCTGGCATGTCTGGGAATTTATGTGAAGCAGATCCAGTTATTGTGGATATCTCTTCTGCACTTCATCTTCCCGTGCTTGCCTTAGTGACAGAAATTACAGCTTCTGTTGTGTAATCTTCCCAGAGGAGAATTAGCTGGTCTTCCTGACGGAGGTCTGCAGGAGAGGACCCGCTGTGGCTCAGCTGGAGCACAGGGAGTCTCTGGGCTCTCGCCGCCCAGCCCCACCTTTGGGCAGCAGAGCGGTTTACCCCTTCCGACACACTGGGCACGTTTCCTTGGTGATGGGAGAGTGTGATCCCTGTTCCTCTGAGGAAGAACCTGCTTGTCCTGGCTGGAGCTGTCTCTTCTCCCTGGGCGCTGGCGAGGAGCACCCGGGCGTGGGCCGTGGCTTCTGTGGAAACCCCTGGCAAGCTCAGTACCTCTGTGGTTGAACTGGTCTTCCAGCTGTCACCACTTGTAGCCAGGGTGTTGTCTCCGCTTTTTGTCAGTGTCTTACCATGGGTAGTGATCATAGAGCACAAAAAAATCCCTACTGCACGTTGTCCTGTTTTTTTTCATTTGCATTCACAGGTAACAAACTACAGGAATAAAAAGGGCATATTCTTGGTGCCATCTTTACCCCACACTTACAGTAGATCCCAGGGCTGGATCAGACTAATGCAGATATCTTTCTCTTGTACCAAAAAATTGTCCTACTGGAAGGTCAGTCCTCAGCTGAGGAAAGTACTGTAAGTACCCCAGTGAGGTGACTGTTGGTGGTGTGATCCCTGAAAGATCAGACAGCCTGGTCTGTTCGTTGCTGCAGAGTCCCCTGTTTGACTGCTTAAATAATCAAGCACAAACTTTCTTTTACTGTGGCTGATTAGAAATGTCTAAGCCAAAGTCACACTCTTATTAGGTTTATTTTCAGCAGGCTTTAGAAAATGTAGAAAGTTTGTTGACATCCTAATATAAGATTTTCTTCAGCATTGACCCTGCAGGACTTCCAGCAGTCAGTCGTAGCGTAATGCAGGTTGGGAGATGCCCGAGAAGGTCCAGTTGCCTCCACAGAGCAGGTCCATGGAAGCAGATTGCTCAAGGCCTTTGCCAGATGAGTTTTCACTTTTCATCGGGAGCTGTCTGGGTCCTCTTCCAGGGTTTGATCATCCTCAAGTGGAGATTTTTCCTAATATCCAGTTGGAATTCCCCTTGTTGTATCTTGTGCCTCTTGTCCTGTGCTGACACTTCCGAAAGGAGCCTGGCTCCATTGGCCCTGCCCACCGCACTGAGCAGTCACAGACCACACAGGGTCTCCCCTTCTCCTTGTCCCCCCGGCCTGAGCAAACCCCACAAAGCCTCTCCTCTGACCTCACATGCTCCAGCCCTGACCATCTCCATCCTCAGCAGGCAGGGGCGTCGTTAGGAAAGCCAGAGCTCAGCCAGAGTTCAACCTGACAGGGACCACTTTGGGCCACTCCCGTTTAACATCTTTATTGATGATCTGGACAAGGGGATCGAGTGCCCCCTCAGTCAGTTTGCAGAGGGCACCCGGTTGGGTGGGAGTGTTGATGGGCTCGAGGGTGGGGAGGCTCTGCAGGGAGACCTGGGCAGGCTGGAGCCATGGGCTGAGCCCAACTGGGGGGGTTTCACTGAGGGCAAATGCCGGGGGCTGCCCTTGGGCCACAACAACCCCCAGCAGGGCTACAGGCCTGGGGAGGAGTGGCTGGAGAGCTGCCGGTCAGAGAGGGACTGGGGGGGTGAGAATGAGCCAGAGTGTGCCCAGGGGGCCAAGGAGGGCAACGGCATCCTGGCTGGTGTCAGCCCTGGCGTGGCCAGCAGGGCCAGGGAAGGGATCTGAGCCCTGGGCTCGGGGAATGGGCTGCCCAGGGCAGGGTCAGGCTGGCTCTGAGGAAGGATTTCTGTGCAGAAGGAGCTGTTGGGCGTTGGAATGGGCTGCCCAGGGCAGGGGGGAGTCCCCGGGATCCCTGGAGGGGTTGAAGAGTCGGGCTGAGCCAGCACTGAGGGGTCTGGGGGAGCTGGGAACGGTCAGGGGGAGGGTCGTGGTGGGGCTGGAGGAGCTGCAGGGGCTTTTCCAACCCAGATGGTTCTGGGGTTCTGTGGGTGCTGCCCAGCAGTGGTTGGGCCTCACCGGGAGGCACCAAGCAAGAGCCTGGTGTGTTTGCAGACAATCGGCCGCCTCCTGCCTGCTGGCCCCATGTCTTGCAGCCTTCCTGTAGAATAATTCCCGTTGCACATATGTGCAAGCATTCTGTCCCCAGATTCCTTACACGTGTGTCTTGTGTCAGTGAGCATAAACACACTGCTGAGTTGTGTGTGGGCAGGAGAGCTGGTGTTTCAGGTGTGACTCTGAAGGGAGATGCTGAGGGGGACGCTCTTTACTTTGGGTAGGTAAATCCTGCAGGTGTCACAGCTTTTGTTTGAGGAGGCCTTTGCTCGTGAATGTTAGAGTCCATCTCTTCAACAACAGCTTCAAAACAGAGGAGTGGATCTTCTCCGGGTTTACTATGTGCTTCTTAATTCACCACATCTTGCTGTTGCTCTTCTGATCTTAACAGATTATTATTTCAGTTGGGTTTTTTTTTGCTTTTGAACTTTATTTTCTCTCTCCCTCAGTTTCCAAGAACAGCAATTCCTTTGTTCAGATGAATGATCGTGCTTGTCTCTCTTCAGTACCTCTTTCTGTGGCCATCCAACTCCCCCCAGAGCCCAGTATTATGGCAGTCCAGGCAAATCCTGGCTTACTGTATAACTCCCATCTTTAATTAATAAGCCCATAGGCACAGCCGATGTGGGGCTTGAGGGAGGATGCTGGTACAGAATAAAGCTGATTCTACAGTGGAGGGCTGGGATTTAACTTGCTATGCTCTGCAAGGGAAAGGAAATATATTTAATGCAGGAGTGTTAATAAGCAGTTTTATTCTGGGCCGTGGAAGTCGTAAGGGTAGATGGAACTTCAACGTGTGAAAATTCCCCTGCTGACACGGATTGGCAGGTAGGTTCTGCATGAGGCAACAAACAGGCTGAAATACCCACTGTACCGTATCTGTGGAGCTTATTATTTGAAGAAGGGAAACTTGCAGGTAAAAACGGATATAAGTTTTTTGGTGTTTTGTGTTTGTTTGTTTTTTTTTTAATTGAAGTTGTGCAATGTGTTAATGCTGTGGGAATACCCAGAGATTGCAGTCAAAATCATGGTGCTGTGCAAACAGGGGGTGTGGAACTGATGATGAAAAATGAAACATGCCTTGTAACAAAGAGGAGAGATGGGTAATTTTATTGTTACAGAGACTGCCACGACGCATAATTGATAGATTTGAGCAGCTGTTTTTTAGAAGATACAAGTGAGGAGAATTTCATTAATTTTGATGAAGCTGTTTCGGTGAATTGCCAGTTGACAGCTACCTGAGCTGTCATCAGAAGTCTGAGCCTCAGGATTTGAAAGTAGGGTTTCAGGAGTCTGTATCCAAGCACAGGGAGATGAGAAAAGGTGCTTGTAGACTAAAAGCCGAGGGGGAATGGAGAGTTGCTTTGTTAGTGGAATGGAGATGGCAAGACTGAGGTATTAAGACCCAGCAGTGATCAACCCTACTGTGATGGTCTTGAGAAGGAGGGTCAGGAGTTCAATTTTGATTCTGGAAAACTAGAAACAAGTGGAAGAATCTGAAGAGAGAGGTTGGTAGAAAGATTGGTGAGGGAAAATGTCTCAGGAACCCAGTGTTTTCAACTTCTGAGTAAACGGGATATTAGGATGAAGAAATTACAGAAACCAGATCAGAAAATGTGGCCTTGAATGAAATACTTGGGACAGCATTAGTATTTTTGTGATAATAAGGGATATCAGAAAGGAGACAAAGTCAGATATTTTGGACATAGTAGGAAAACAGTAGTATTATTCAGGGAAAAAGTCACCAAAAATGGTGAACTGGAACTTTTGTTTTAAGTCAGACATACATCAGACTCAGCGTGGCACTGGAGAGGAGAGGATGAGATCTGTCCGAGGGCCTTTAGAGCAAAGCTGGGAAAGAGTCAACACAAGGATTATAGTTGAAGTCATGTGAACAGATAACAAAAAAAATAAGTGTTCAAGGGGAGAAGATATGCACAGCGTTGTCTTGTAAAGAAGTGGAAGGCAGGAGACTGTTCATTTTCTCCATGACTCATCTGGAGAGTGATGGAAGATTATATCATTGCAGAAACCTCCAGAGGCTTTTTCCTTTTAATTAACGTTTGGTCAGTCGTTTCAAAAGCAACTGGGAATGCATTAGTTTGGCTGATTACTTTGATTGATGTTAGCCATCCAGCCGTTTGCCTGGGATCGAGACTGTAGAAATTTGAGTGGAAATGGTTGGGTGGAAATGAGGAGTTGAGCTTGCAGCCGAGGCTGGGGAGGGAGAAGCTGGAACGTATCATTTGCAGATGGCGTTCTTGGTTTGCATGTGGTCGGGAAAGGGAGAACAAGTGGTGGTTTGCGCTTGGAAAAGGAAGTAGTCCGAAGCTGGCAGAGAGCAGGGAGGCGAGAGAGAGCAGCAGCATTGTTATGTCATCTCAAAGTCTGAGAGATTATTTAGTGTAAACAATGGTAAGACTGAAAGAATAGGAAATGGTAGGAGGACAAAACGCTGATAATTATGCTAATGGTGCTTCAGACAATGGTGTTTATGACAGACCTATTCCGTGTTTTCCAAAGGTATTTAGGCTTTTAGTTCCACGGACAGCGTGTACATACTGCTGCAAATTAAAATGCATCTCTGTGCCTGGGGGAGTTCACGTGCTGCCTGTGGCTTTGGTTATGAAAGAGAAGGGAAGGGCTTTCCCTCCGTGTAGAGCCTGTGTTACGCCAAGCTTCTCAAAGATCCTCTTGTTCTGAATTCTGTGATATCAAAGATTTTCTTTCCCCCTTCCTTTCCCTCCAGTGGCTCAATGAAGCAAAGATTATTCAGAGACTTGTGGAGCTGATCCATTCGAGCCAGGATGAGGACGTGAGTATGACAGGACAAGTTTTGTCTCTGTGGGGAGCGGGTCCTGTGGGGTCCAGGAGATTCCCTGTCTCCTCAGTAATGCCCGGGTGACTTACAGCTGGAGATCAGGAGGGATGATCTCTAGGGCTGGTCATCCTCTCCTCTGCTTGCTCATACCGTAACATTTCATTGTGTGTTTAATCTGGTTTTGACTTATTTTATTACCAGTTTCTTAGTTCATTCTGCTGCTGCATCAGTTTGTGTCAGTATTTACGCTTAGTGGGAACTTTCTTGGGTTTAAGCAGGAACCTGCTATTTGAAACAGGCCGTTGAAAAAGTTGGAAAATTAACCAGTTTGCTGTAATTTTCAATTCTTTTTAGACCATGAGTATTTTCAGTTTATAAAATCTACAAGATGCAGCTCTTTGAGCCCATGAAAAAGACACTCTATGTATTAAATATTAGGGGTGTTTTTTTTTTTCTTTCAATAATTTTCACAAAACGTCTGAGCTAGGAGCTCTAGATCTGGATTCCCATTTCCTACGCCACCATTTCACCTTTGGGTGTTGCCATGGAGCAGGAGAGGCTCACGGCAGCCTCTTGGTCTCCACTGGCCCCTCTTAGATGGGGACGGGGGCTCTTGGTCACAGATTCCGGGGAGTGCCGGCGCCCAAGCGAACTGCACGGCCCGGGTTTCTCTTGGTGTAGAGCTAACGCTGACACTGGGATTCCCACATCTCATCACAGCAAAAATTGCCCCTTCTGAGAGGAAAAATGAGGAGGAGTGTGCTGATTTGTGTGCCTTCAGCAGTGCTGTCTTATGGGGGAACACTAAATTACAGCGTAAGATCTTACACATGCAGTAGCTACAGAGGCTTTGATTGATAGCCGGAATGAGACGATTCATTTATCAAAATACTACTTTAAAGTCTTTTAATACGTAGTAATTAAATTGTAAAGGGTTTCATAAAGCCTTTTATTTTTCTTCATGCAGAAAACCTCATGAGTAGCAAGAAGTTAGAATGAAATACTCGTATTTGAAATTTGCAAGTTAACACACTTAAGATGAACTAAGAATCCCCATTTTTTGAAATCTTTAACTGCATTTAGTTGTTAAGTTCAGGAAGATGTTCTCTTTGATTTTTAAAATCTGTTAATGCTTCGAATAATTTGCATCAATATTGTATTTAACAGATGAATAATCTAGAGCATGGTGGCACTTTTGAAAAATTCTAATTCGTTCAGTTTCATGCGTTCCCAGCTATGTTAAATTTTCTCTGGCGGCCGGGGTGAGCCAAGTGGAGATGCTGGCACTGAAATGTGCTCTATGTCGTTTTTTACAGAGGCAATCAAATGCATCCCAGACCCTGTGTGATATCATAAGATTGAGCAGAGACCAGAGCAATCAACTCCAGGATATACCTGAGCCTGATCCACTTCTCACAGCACTGGAATCGTAAGTACTTGTCAGAGGACTGTTGCTAAAGTAATTACTACTAATACTGTCACTTACTGATGGCTCTCTAGAGACACAAACTATGCGTGTCAAGCCTTTGCTTAACTCTGGACTTTGTGCCAACCATTTAATATTACTTTGAAACTGTAGCATTACTTAACTGCCTCTGTTGAGACTTCTGGTTTTCATAGCTCTGTATGAAGGCGGGAGGTTGGTGTTAGTGATCCTCAGAGCTCACGGCCTGGTTTGAGATGAGGTGGGTGTGTTAAAACACTCGTAGTGTATTTGGAAAAAGGTGAACTGTGATGGCAGTAGTTGAGAAGTAGTTGTATCAGCACTGGGGTGGGCAGCAGGGCCAGGGAAGGGATCTGAGCCCTGTGCTGGGCACTGGTGAGGCCGCCCCTCGCTGAGGGGGTTCAGTTTTGGGCCCCTCACCCCAAAAAGGCCATTGAATGACTCGAGCGTGGCCAGAGAAGGGCAACGGAGCTGGGGCAGGGTCTGGAGCACAGGTCTGCTGGGGAGCGGCTGGGGGAACTGGGGGGTTCAGTCTGGAGAAGAGGAGGCTGAGGGGAGACCTCCTGGCCCTCGGCAACTCCCTGCCAGGAGGGGGCAGAGAGGGGGGATGAGTCTCTGGAGCCAAGGAGCCAGCGCCAGGCCCCGAGGGAATGGCCTCAAGCTGCCCAGGGCAGGGTCAGGCTGGCTCTGAGGAAGGATTTCTGTGCAGAAGGGGCTGTTGGGCGTTGGAATGGGCTGCCCAGGGCAGGGGGGAGTCCCCGGGATCCCTGGAGGGGTTGAAGAGTCGGGCTGAGCCAGCGCTGAGGGATCTGGGGGAGCTGGGAATGGTCAGGGTGAGGGTCATGGTGGGGCTGGAGGAGCTTCAGGGGCTTTTCCAACCCAGATGGTTCTGGGATTCTATGAGGGAAATCCCACAAAGATAATCTTAAAATTCCTGTATTGATGGTGTTCCCTGGAGATTTAGATTGGCTATTAGGAAAAATTTCTTCACTGAAAGGGTTGTCAAGCGTTGGAACAGGCTGCCCAGGGAAGGGGTTGAGTCACCATCCCAGGAGGTATTTAAGACGTGTAGCTGTGGTGCGTGGGGACATGTGTTAGTGGTGGACTTGGCAGGGCTGGCTTTACAGCTGGACTTGACAAGCTTAAAGATCTTTTCCAACCTAAATGATTCTGTGATTCAGTCATCCTTGGCTAATCTGGGGCTCTTATTGCCCACTGGTGAACGTGCTGCACCAGACAGATTTCAGATAATCGGGTTGCTGTTGATCAAAGCGGGGAAGCAAATGCTGCGCCCGCAGGAGTTTCTCGCCGCGGTAGCTCACATGTCACCATGCACTTTGTTTTGCACGAGGCATTACCAGCTTGCCTCCAGAGCTTTGCTGAGGTCTCCTTACACACCCCGAGTGTCCTCTGGCATCCTATTTTTGGCTCCTGAGTCAAATATCAGTTGAAGAGCTCTTAACTTACATGAACCTTGGGTTGCCTGCGGCTCCTCAGAGACAGGGTGATGCTGGGATACCTCCTGGTACATCTCACCGGGCTCTGAGTCATTCATCTCCCTGGGATTATTCTCCAAATGTGGTTGAGTTCTGTAAGGACTAAATCTGCACACTGCAAATGCCTCCCTAGCCCTCGCCGATCATTCAAAGAGGTATTTTGTTTATTTGTGGCTGGATGGTGACAAATCTCCCCTCTCCAGACACCGTCCCCAGGGATCCCTCAGTGCATTAGAGTTAGTGTTAGCTCTTTCCTCTTCCTAGAGCCCTGTCACCCGTGACCATCACGAGCTCCTCAGGCTCAGAAACGTTGTGCAATGCTTTAATGGGAGACAACGTGTTACAATGCGGATACCTAATAAGGTTAATCGTTTGCTACCTTCTGATGGATAAACTTTGCAGAGCAGATTTGTAAATAGAGATATTATTGTCATTCATTAGGCCTGGTGGTTTGACTGGAAAAAGTAGAAAAGCTGTTTTGGTTTGTAAGTGCTTTGTCATTTTTCATTTGAAATTTGTTTTTTTGGGGTTTTTTTTGTTTGTTTGGGTTTTTTTAAATCCAGACCTAACCTAACTTCTCTATTATTACTGAGGAAATATATTTATCAGAAACTTTCAAAGAGTGTTTTTGTTAGGAGTTACAGTTAATGTTATCTGGGAAATGAGTTATGTAAAAGAAAATGTTGATTTTTCATGTTTACTCTATTCCCTTGGCGTTGTTTCTTTGCTCTTTGTAATGCAGTTTTAAATAATTTATGTTAGTATGTTTACTGCTTCCTACATTTGCTTCAAACCTAAAAACATTTACTGGAGATTCAACAGGAGTTTGAAATCAAAAAAGGCTCTTTTAGGCCTAGAGGTGACAGAAAAGGGCTGAAAGAAGAGACTTGCGTGAGTAGTATAGCATCTATAACTAGGGCTTAAAATTCCTCTTTACCTGTTTTTGTTGACCCAGAGGTCTCTTAATTTTTGTGACATTGCTGCTGTTTTCTCCTGAGTCTGAGCTGTCGGCTCTTACGTGAGAGTCGTGGCGTCTGCTGGAGGGACCCACCCGAGGGGTGTGGGTGAGGGCAGGAGGGGGCTCCTGCTGCGCACGGGCAGGGGAACCCACCGGCTCTGCAGTGTCACGGGCTCTGCCACGGGCCCACGTGTGGCTCTGCCCCTGCGAGGAAATGCTCTTTCTCAAAGGCTTCCCTTCCTTCACTGCGCCGGCAGAGGTAGGTCTGGCCCTTTGTCCCATAATTCCTCCTACCGCGTGGCGCAAGGTTGGATTTTCAGTGTAGATCGTGTCCCTGACGCGGAGCCTTCAGCATCTCATCGCGTCTGCATCAGCTTTGAGCCCTGGGAAGCTTGGAGGGGAGGCTCCAGCTCGGCCGTTTCACCGGGAAGCCCCAGGCCTTTAACGAGAGCCGTGGTTGGGTGCCGTGAGCCGTGCAGGACGCGGAACTTTCAGACTTTTTTGGTAATTTTACGCTTCCGTCGTAGTTTTAGGCTTTCTCAGTAGTTTTGGAGAGGGATGTGGAACCCTGCTGTGTGGGGGGCAGAAGATTGCTGCCCGTCGTCTTTCGTCAGAGCCTCTGTGACACCAGTGGTCGAATTTAAGCAAATTTCCTTCTTTATACAAAGAACTGTAGAAAGCTGCAATTCGAAGTTTGGCTCGTACTTTACTCAGTTGGACTTTTAGCTTCTTTCCCCGCTCCCTTCTCTCCCTCCCAGTCTCCCTCACCTTCCTGGTGTTCTCTGTGGATGCGCTTTGCACGTTTTCAAGCGCTACCTGTAACTTCCAGGAGACAAATAAAAGCTTTTTCACTTCCAAAAAAGCATTCCATTGCTTAGAAGAAAAAAAATATTTTGAACTAAAGTGATTTTTTGCATGACTTACCTTTCTGCTGAAGGTCACATTATTTTTCTTGGCCAGTTTTTCCCAAGCATTGCTGGTAACCTTTTTTGATCTTTGGATAACTTTTTTTTTTTAATCTATGAATCATGAATTAATAATCAGCTACTGCAACAAGAAGGAGCTGTGAGCAGGGTTACAGAATAAATATCAAATCTCAATTTTTCAATGACTGTTGGCTGTATGCAATAAAAGTGAATTCAGTTAATCATGGTAAACTGTTAACTTCTTTTTCCTGACTCTGCCTCTTGTGCTGATGGAGTGTATTTAGATGCTACTTATTAAAATCATTTTATCTCATGCATTATTCATGTATTTTACATTTTTATCTCATATTTTATTTATACAAATGTAAATGAGACTTTTTCAAATGTTAGAAAATAGTAAAAATTAGACTGTGAACTTGAGTAATCCTGTTTTTAGCTGGACATGTGACTTAGCAAGCCGAGAACGGCACTTGCTGAGTGCTGGGTTTTGGAGAACTGTCATTAACATCTGCAGAATTAGCATGGGGAAAGAATCGGAGTACAGGGGTGGAAGCAGGCACTGCTGCAGTCAAGTAACCGTAGATGCGTAACAGTGCCACCCTGAACCCTCGTATTCCTCGTATCTATTATTCATTTAGCGTGGCAAATAGTAGAGAGGAAAGTGGGCTGTTACCTTGTGCTAATTATTCTTCAATTCTGAGGCAGCGCCAGAATAATTTTTAATGCTAGAAAGGCCCAGCATTGTTGTTCATTCTGACTCCAGCAGTCTCCAACGCCTTGCTTGGGGATCCTTCCACCCGGCCCCAAAGCCATCACGGTTTGGAAGGCATCTTGTCTTGGTTTAAGGGCTTAAAGGGATGGTGAATTGATTAAAGTCCTTCAAGGGGGTAATACGTGTATTATTTACACTTTGCGTTGGCCTCTGTTTCCAGTCCTTACTGTGCCCCTGGCAAATGATAAGGGTCAACTTCCACTGTTTGTTGTCCGTCTTTTGCAATTCTGATGGGTAATTTTAGACCCTCAGCTAATAGCTTCATACTGTTTTTAATAAATTAAATTGACTGAGTTAACACTTGGGTTGTCTTCCAGTTTATGACTAAGAGGTGTATCCTGCTGGTAAAGGAGAGTGAGTGACAGGTTGGAGTCCATGTGTCTATAACCAATTCTTGCCTTAGTGGTGAGTAAGCAAGTTCAGAAATCTGGTGTAGAACCATGCTCACCATATGAGACTTTAGAGAGGAAGGTCTTTTTTTTTTTTTTTTTTAAATAAAAGAAAGGAAAAATTGCAGCCTTTTTTTTCCAGAAGACCCAGTAGTTGATATTTTGTGATTAAAGGAACTGCCAAATACTTCTAATTCTTATACTGCTTGTGTGTGTGTGTTGATCAACAGGCAGGAATGTGTGGAGCAACTCCTGAAGAATATGTTTGATGGAGAACAGACTGAAAATTGCATAGTGAATGGGACACAAGTTCTTCTAACATTGCTGGAAACAAGGCGCTCTGGGTAAGTTAGCACTTGCTTCCCTAGCAGGAACAATTTTAGGAGCTCCAATCTAGTTTACTTAGGCCAAAAGGGATTTTTTTTGGCCTGCTGTGAAGTGCTGTCTAGAAATGAGTACAAGAAGAGCTGTTTTTTGGAGCAATGGCAGTTGTACCAGTTGGCAACTGGGCCCTTCTGTGGGCTCTTCCAGTTCCTGTATCACAGTCTGGTCTGTAACAGCAGAGTGTGTGCAGAGAGGGGGAGGAGATGCTACATCGTGCGTAAGCTGTGTGATGATGTGTGCATATATATATATATGTATGGCTCTGTAGTTTGAATTTTGTTTTTTAAAATTATATCCGCCTTTTATTTCTTTTTATGGAGACAGAGGATTGAAGAGCGAAAGAGAGTTCTGGGGAGGAAGGGAGGCATTGAAAATCTCAGGTTTTTAAAAAAGGAGAACATAAGAGTGAAGGAGCTAATGGAAGAGCAGGAAGAGGTACTGGAGAGCAGGACAGAAGATGGCACTGGGCAAACAAGTTGCTGGTCAGAAAACCATGTGCAGAGTTAAAACTGAAAAGCTGAGATACTAGTTCTGCTGTGTATTGTGCCCAGGATCTCTGAAGATTTGGAGTTGGAGGCTTAGGGGTTCCTATCTGGCCCATTCCTGCCTCCCAGGAATCAGATTTCATGGCTGAAATGGAAGTGTTTCTTAAGAAACATTTTACAATTTTGAATCGTGACTGTGGTGCTTTTCTTGCTTGCAGGGTGGAAGGACTGATGGACTCATACACTCAGGGATTTGAAAGGTCTTACACTGTCAATAGCAGCATCTTACACGGTATTGAACCCCGGCTAAAGGACTTCCACCAGCTGCTGCTCAGCCCTCCCAAGGTAGGGCTTCTCAGGAGCAGGGGCTCCTCCTCTGCATTCCAGGGTTCCCCTTTCCTCATACACAGCCTTCCTGGATATTTTCTGAAAGCACCAAGTGCTGGAACAGCCAAAAATCTTTTCAAGAAAATTTCAGTCTTAAAGTTTATAGTTCTGCTGCTTACGGACTAGGCAGTAGTTGTATTTGAGTAAAACCAAGAATTGGAGATAGGTTGGGACCAGTGGCTTGTGTAAAGAGGACTAAGGATGAAGAGAGAGGAACTTGTAGTTGGAGGATATTTTGATTTTAATCTTCAGTTTTGGAAGTAAAAGTCTCACAGTGGTCACACAATACTGTCCTCCTCTCTGTGGGAAGATGGTTTAAGTTTACCTGCAGAGAATATTTATGAAATGGACTAGTTGTGTTTAGTGAAATCAGTGTGCATATACACTGGAGGAAATGTTCATCTTCGTTAAGGTAATCATTGTCTGTTTCTTTGATAGAAAACAGCAATCCTAACTACAATTGGTGTCTTGGAGGAGCCACTGGGGAATGCTCGTCTTCATGGATCTCGTCTAATAGCTGCTCTGCTTCACACAAACACTCCCAGTATTAATCAGGAACTATGCAGACTCAGTACCATGGATTTATTACTTGTGAGTAGTACAGGGTCACACTGGGGATGGGGAGAGGGCGAATCCCTTTAACCTGGGAACGGTTTTGCTTTCCCTTCCATCTGTTCAGATCAGGGAAGTTATTTCATGTGTGGCAGTTATTTACCTAGTCTGAAAGTGGGAACATCCATCCTTAGAATAGATTTTATAATACAAGTACAGTTGCTTAGTATTTGAACTGAAGGCCATGCTTCAAATTTATTGCTGTAGTAGCTTAGTAGTATGCAAAATAGCCTGGTTATTGAGAAAGCTTGGGTATGTTGTGCAAATCAGCTCTGCCAATAGCTGATCTCTTTGTCGAGCTGTGAACAGGGACGTGTTCTGAGAACTGCCAGCGTAACCAGGACAGGCTTTCAGAAAACTATTTTTCTGCTTAGAAATTATTTAGTTAGCATTTTTTCTTACGATTAATTCAGCCACAGAATAGATGACATTTGTTTCAGTATGTCTGTGCTGTGGGCCCTAGCTGTGTACGAGTGTTCCCAGCCTGCTCAGTTTCAAGGGGAGTAGATGTTAGAGCAGAGCAAACGGCACGTTCAGCCGTAAGTGGATGCTGAGGCAGGTTAAGTGAAATTGTTTTAGTGGAACTGCTGATTAAACAATTAGTTGGGGAGTGCTCTGATACCATTTGATTGTTAAAAATGGTAAGATGTATCTAGAGTGAATTTTTGCTTCTCATTTTTTCCCAGGACTTATTTTTTAAATACACATGGAATAACTTTTTGCATTTCCAAGTGGAATTGTCCATAGCAGCTATTCTCTCACACTCTGTACAAGAGGGAAAAACTACTACTAATGACCTAGAAAGCAAAGAAGAGGTGCTGAATGGAAATGTGGCCCCAGAGAACTCGGAGACTCCAGAAAACAATACCGAGAATATCATGGTTACTCATGTAAGTCTGGCCGTGTCACCTGAGAATTTTAGACTGATTGATTCAGGCTGTGTATGCATTAATGGGAAAATGGTGTGACGAGCTCTTCAGGAGCGCGGAGCTTATTTAAACCTGTCTAGATAGAACTTGGTTCTGTCAGTTCTGGATGGAAGTGTATTTGCTTTTGCACATTTGTGTTTAGCATCCAGTTACAAAACAAACATACCACCCAGCTCATTTAATGGGCTTGCGAATCCATTTTAATTTAATTTTTTGAGTAAAGATGCATATAAACTTTGGACAAAACAAAAATAATTAGTAACGACAAGTAGCTAACTACATTTTAGCTTCAGCATGGTGGCCCTCATGGCGAAAACCATTTGTTGTGTTTGTAAAACAACGGCAGTCTTCTTCATGACTGCTCTTGTGAAGCCCCAGAGCAGGCTGAAGGGGTTTATAGGGATTGCTGCTTCCCCTGGATCCTCTGAGAAAAAAATTGAGAAAGAAGAAACTTGAGCTCTTGGGAAAGATAAGTGCTGAACTTTAAATTCTTGTTCAGCAGGAGTGAAGGAATGAACAAAAGTAACTATAGTTCAGTACAGACTTCCTAAGGCATGAGTCTTACTTTGTCAAACTTCTGAAATGTTCTTCCTATCTCTTTTTTTTTTCCTCTAGCTGTTCCAGAAATGCTGCCTAGTGCAAAGGATATTGGATGCCTGGGAAGCCAATGACAAGATACAGTAAGGGCTTTTGGGGTCGGAAGGCCTTTGTTCTAGGGCTGCAGATTTAGGGTGTTGCCTTGAAATATTCTTGCAATTATTTGCATCATTTACAATTTAATGGTGCCTGAAATGATTGGATTTTGATCATGAGTTGGAATTAGGATTATTTGCATCTTAAAAAACAAATTCACCAAGCGGACATATAATTTGAAAGCATGATTTATTTTTTTTTTAAAATACGTATAACATCTCAACCCAGACACACGATATGCTTCTTCCTTGCTTTCTCAGGAAATTACAGAGCATATTATCTTTTTTTTTAAATCCATAATTATATTCCCTAGAGTGAGCAACTGTGTGGAAAGTGAGGTGGGCAAGCATTTTTGCCCCACATTTGGTATTCTAACTTTGCAAAACACTCGGCTTGCATGCTGATTGCAATGATTGCAAGAACTAAATAATTAAAAACCCTAGAACATCCCAAAGTGAAAGTGTTATCTAGGCTTCTTTTTCTTTGTCCATCTAAATGGTTTGGTCCTCTCTCGTTATTTTGAGCTCTTCATGGCTTCAAAGTGCTATTTAGTCCCCCTGTAATTATTTTAGGCTTTCTGTCAGGGTATAATTGATGGGTTGGGTTTTGGGTTGATTTTCAGTTTGGTTGGGTTGGGTTTTTTTGTTTTTTCCTTCTTGCAACCCTTTGGGCTGTCGATTACAAATTTTGCTGAAAGTTTTGTTGCACAACTATCATTGTGCACAGTTCTGCAGGTGCAACAGAAGTTGCTGTAGTTGCTGCTTGAGAGTTTACCTAATTAAATTAGATAGGAACTAGAGCTCATACATATTTCATGTCAAACAGTTCCAGTCACCACACTGGAAAGAATTTTAATGGCAAGAAAAAAATCCTGAGTTAACGAGAGGTATCTCGGGTGCTGTGCTTTGAGAAGCTTGAGTTTGTATGAAGGTTATTATATGCACTCAGTGAGAAGATGGAGTCAAGCACTGGGAGCCCCGGGGCCAGAGATTCCAAATAGAGACCTTGGGAATTATTTCTGAAAAATTGTCAGCAAGAATGGCGGGAATATATTCTCCTGCTGAAACATGGGCTATCTCCTTGGGTCCCTTTAGTTATTCTGTATGTTCTTGATGAAGGACTTGTAACTACTAGAATTTAACTTCTAGGTAACCCACGTAATTCTTTTACCGCGGTCCATTTGATCTGCCTAGGTAAATAGAATTTAAAATAAAGTAAGTCTGGTCATCAGTGTGAGTTTATAGGAAACATCAGTTTGTAGGACCCACCTTTGTGTGCCCTCCTACTCCTGGAAGTGTAGTAACCCCCACTGGTGGCGTGGTTGATAAAGAGTAGTTGAAAGTGCTGAAATAAAAGTTAATTTTGCGTGTTTGCTGGCTGCCTCCCAGCAGCGTGTTACGGACTGCTCGGCTCAGAGGACGGGGTGTGTGGGTCCTCCCGCAGCGCTCAGCCGCAAGACAGATGCAGCCTTGCTGTACGCTGCTTTCATCACCGTGCGCTTGGAATTTTTGAGTAGGCTGAGCTGAAAAACGTTATCTTCTCCACAGCGAGCCGTAGGACAGCGCTGTGTCCCCTCATCCCGCCTGCCCCGGGGTTTTGTCCGCAGTGTTGCTGGAACCGTCGCTGGGGTGCCTGCGCCGCCCCGGGGGTGCCCGTGTTCCCCAGTGCTGGCAAGCTCCGGCCCGGGAGCGGTGGCCCTGGGCTCGCAGCCGAGGCACTCAGCAGAGCCCCCCATCCCCCTTTTTATAAAGCACTGGGGCTCTGCGCTTGGGTCGAGGCGTGAAAGCAGTTGCCACGAGCCGAGGTGCGGGAGGTTGGAGCTCAGCACTGGGCACTCACTTCCATGGGTTGGTTTTCTCTGGACAGCTCTAAACGCTGACTTTGGGGCTTGAGCGCTGGCCTCGCTACAGGGCTTATCTACGGATAGAGTTTGTCTCGGCTTTGGACTCTGGATTTTGGTACAGGAACATGCGGAGGGGTAAGATGGGGTTTGCTTCCCAAACCATCTCGTCTCCTCACCTGCACACCTTCAGCTCCAATACTAGGGAAAGCCTGAGATAATTTCAGTACAAACTTATCCTTTATAGAGACTCAGGAGGGGATGATTACACCTTTCAAGGGGTGTGGATGTCATTAAAAATTTTTTTATAAAAAAAGCTTAAAATGTAGTTGTAACTGCCTGTGATCAGAGGAGCTGACACTGCTGGCTTTGCTGTACTGGCCCATCAGCAGCCCCCCAGCAAGGGCAGGGGGAATTCGGACGAGCCCAGCGTGTCACCTCCGAGCAGCTCTGCTGGCTGTACTGTCTTCCTCTCTCCCAAGGAAAAATGAAAGTCTTTATTATGTGTTGCCTCTGGTAGGGTCTCGGAGAGAAACCTTTGTTTTACAGCTGGAGACTCAGAAATGTGAGGTGGAAGCGTGTTGTCATCCTCTTTGTAAGGGGTTTATTTTTGTTTAGTTTGATTCTGACCCACCAATTTTATTCATGGTGGCTTGAGTCAACCTTGCATGCTGCTTGTGCTGCGTCAAGAAATAACAATTTCTGAATTTAACTTCGGGATTTGGGATACTTTAATGTGCATTATGTCAGTCCGTAAGGGCGCTGTATGTCAGAGTTCTGGGCTGCTTTTCACACCTGCCAGTTTAAAGGCAGAAATGCTGTTTCCAAACGTGGTGCTATGAAATTTCTTACAGGAATCTGCCACTAGGATTTACATCTTTCTTCTCAAATCTCATCAGTCCTTCTTTGGATACCGTGGAAAGCAGAATTATTTCAGGCTTTTCATCCCCTGATTTTTAGATTGCTTCTTTACTACCTAGTGAAGGAGAACCAATGAAAATTCAAAGAAAAACGACTTAGGCTTAGTGTTAGCTGCGGTTGGTTTTTTTTTTAATAAGGGGGAAATCTAATGGTTGTAGATTAGTGTCTTTTGTTCTCTTGAATTCATCTGCTTAATACTTCAATTGCAAGTAAAACTCCAGAGCTTTTTCAGTAGTAGTGATGTAAATTCTTACTGCTGTGAGTCTTCTTTAATGGAAATTATAATCAGATTATTTATTTTCTGCAGCGATGTTTCAGTGTACCTGATTAGCTGCTTCTTTGTAACTGGTTAAATTTTATCTTGTGTCTTCCGAGCTGGGTGAGGGGTCTCTTCCCTCACAGGCAGGTTCATCTGCCCGGTGCTGAGCCTGCCGAGCCCCCCTGCCTGCACATGTTGGGGTGCTGGGGAGCTCGGCCTGGCCGGGCTGCGGGGTCTTCTGATGGGGACCCGGGGCCTCCTGGGGTTGCTACTGGCTGTGTTCTCTCTCCAGGGCAGAAGGTGGAATGAGGCGAGGCAACATGGGCCACCTCACGCGGATAGCCAACGCTGTGGTACAGAACATGGAGAAGGGCCCCATGCAGACTCAGATTAGTGAGTTCATTAAAGGTACAAGCTCCTTTCTCCTTCCCCTTCCTTTTTTCCCCCTGATTAAATAACCCATGCAGGCCTTTTGGAGAGACTTTTATTGCGTGAGGGTCCCTTTTGGAATGAAAAAAATTTCCAGTTAAATACCACAGTTTCCCATAACTTTAAAAAATATTTAGACCAAATTTGGATGCTCTTTGTTTTCATACAATTTGTTGGAGCTGTTTTCGCAACCAGAGACTGAAGGTGTCCTTTTTGTGCTGAAGAATGCTGCTTTTCCACTGGATTTATCTGTACATTTATAGTACTTATTTACAGCATTCTAGGGTGGTGTTTCTGTACTTCCTTATTCTCACACCTGAGAGGAAGAGACACACCAGAATAAATGATCACAGAGGCCCCCCATCTCCGCTTTGTCAGAGATATTCATGTTGCCAGGCTTTGTCCATCGTGTCTTCGTTGGACTTTATTTTGAGAACTAGTTCTATCTGACATTTTTGAGTGAGAGGAAAAAAGATTTTTCCATCTGCATCTATTAAGGGAAACAATGAGCACAAATACGATTTGCGTTTCCATTTTTGGCCTCTAAGGAGCATATCAAATGGTAATACAGTCACTTGGTGTGTTGTCATGTCTACGTGAAAACTGAGAAATTATAAATATTTTAGTAAAAACTGCAAGTTTCCCAAGTCCTGGCTATTTCTGTTGTTTCACTGGACTGGGTCTGGCTGGGGTGGAGATAACCTGATTCATAGCAACCCCGTGGTGCTGTTTCGGATCCGTAACTAAAATGCTGTTGATACCACACCACTGGTTTTTGCACAGCCCCAAGGCTTCCTCTTCCACCCGCTCTGCCCTCGCAGCGAGTAGACGGGGGGTGGACGAGAGGCTGGGAGGGGACACAGCCAGGACAGCAGTTCCATGCCACGAACGCAGCAGTAGGACTGGGAGACAGTCTGTCCGAGGTGGCTCCTGCTCAGACTGCCTGAGCGTCGCTTGGTTTGGTTTGGGGTTTTTTTCCCCTCTTTTCTCCACATATTAAACTTCCTTCATCTCAACCCGTGAGTTTTTCTTGCTTTTGGTCTTCCAGTTCTCTTCCCCATACTGCTGTGGGGTGGAGTGAGCAAGCAGCTGGGTGGGCGCTTACCTTCTGGCTGGGGTCAACCCCCTACAATCACCGTGAAAGAAAAGAGGAAAAAAAAGTAGAATGAAAGTCACAAGTATGCTGGTTTTCAGAAAGTTGTAGTGGAAGTCTTGTCTCTTTAGCCAACTGTAATTCCACAAGTGAGTTAAGATTAAGACCAGTAATATCTTACTGGCCTAATGAGAGATGCTCCTTTCTCTGCAGAATTCACCGTTTTTAGCAAATCACAAGTAAACTGTAATTCCCTTTGCAGAGCGCCTCTGTAACGCATGCAGTACTTGGCTCACGTGCAGGTGTATGTGTCTGCTCAGAAACGTCCCGTGGGGCTGAATGACTGGCTTTGATCCCTCCTCCCCAAGCTGTGGTAATCTTTTCAGTGACCTTTTTATTACAGAGCTACCCGAAGATTGTAGAGGGAGATGGGAGAGTTTTGTAGAAGAGACGCTGACGGAAACAAACAGGAGAAATACAGTGGATTTGGTGAGAACAGTGATACTGTGCATGTTTCACAGAGGCCTGTTATCTTCTGGACTTTACGCTGCTGGGGTATTTTCTTCCTGTGCTTGTTTGTGTGGAGTAAGCTTACAAGGGCAGAGTGTTTGCGGAAAGCACATTCCATAGTAGTTCTTCAAGCAGCAGCACCTCTGATACATGTTGGCAAACTCTAGTCCACGTTTCTGTTACCCTTGGGACCGTTTCTGCCTTCTGAGGAGTCTGGTCTTTGATTGTACGTGTGGAACAAAAGTATTTGAGCTCTCTTAGCTTTCACTTGTGCTTATTTTTGTGTTTCAGGTGAGCACTCATCATCTGCACTCTTCCAGTGAGGATGAAGACATTGAGAGTGCTTTTCCCAATGAACTTTCTCTCCAGCAGGTGAGCTGACAACACGCTCTTCACTGTTCCCGGGAAGCTCGTGTGTCTGATGTGCCCTTAGTCCATCCTAGTACAGAGCTGCTTCCTCAATTCTTCTCTCTTCAGTTCTTCTGTGTTTTTCCAGAATAGTTACTTACATGGTGTGTCCTCCAGTTGGGAATAAATTTGGCTCAGACCTCAAGCAAGTCCCAGATCCGTGCTGTGCCTCACATTTCTGTGTGGCACTGCCCATTTCTTGCTCTTTTGCTGGTTCTGTCCACGCCAGGGGACGGGGTGGTGCTGAGGTTGTAGAGCAGCTGCTGTGAGTAGCTGTAGCTGCCAGGCAGCGAGGCAGTGTGCATCTCCTACCTGTAGTAGCACTGGTGCTGATGGGGGGTGTTCTGCTTCCTCCTGGACTATGCAAACTTCCAGTCAGAACTGGAAGAGCTGTGCTAAACTGTTAGCAGTAAACGGCCTTGACTTAGGAAGAAGGGGAGGAAATGAAGGGTTCACTTGCATTTAGCAAAGATCTCAGGATCCTCAGAATCTGAGGTAGTTTGCTAAAGGTCCATCAAATATATGGAAGGTGCTTCTCGGGATCAAATATTTAGACAAGTTCTTCCAACCTTTTTTGATGCCAAGAACATAAAGAGCATTAGCAGAACTTAAAAGTTTCAACCTATTTAGTAGGAAGCTACCTATGGGTAGTAAAAAGACAATTTCAATCTGAACTCTAGTAACAGGTAAAAATGAGCTGAAAAGAGTTTTTAGTTGTTTCTTTGAGTTTATATTTTTGTCCAAATTAACTGGCTATGCTGACATTACAAATGCTTTTCCTCAGCCAGTACTTAGAAAGTGCATTAAAAAGGGGAAAATGCCTTTTGTTGTGACAAGTATCGATAGAAATATGGACAGGAGCCTGCAGAACTCCTCAGGCAGGAACACAGGTAGTTGGTATCACCCACAGAGGAGTCACGACAAAGTGCAGCTGCAGAGACGCGTGTTTGAATTTCTCAGCTGTAGCTGGAGTGGGCTCCCTACTAGTGTTCAGAATTATTGGCCAAAGAGGAGAATTGATCTGGGGGGGGAAAAAAAAAAAAGCAACACATAGGAGCAAGTGTGAGATTCTTTCTGGAGGCAGAAGCAATCTTTCTCATAAATAGAGAATGAGGCACGGATGAGTAGGCAGGAATGTGACCAAAGGCGTATCTGGGCAGTTATCTTGGGGCACAAGCTGGAAAACAGACCCAAGCTGCTGCGGGAAACCAAACATCCCGGTGTTTGGGAGTGTGATCTCAAAGACATGGGGAGTAATTTTTCCATTCTCCTTGGTGAATGTCCAGTTGGAGGCGGTGAACTTCAAAAGTGATTTGCATTAGCAAAAGGTGAGCTAGAGGATAGTAATGAGAGTCATCAGAGGGGTAGAACGTGACATAGGAAGGAAAGGTGAAAGGATTTGGTGCACTTGGTCAAGAGAAGACAAGATGACGTGGAGACGTAGGCCTCATGCTCCAAGGAAGAGGGGTTTAGAGCCAGTGAAAAGTACCTTCTTGATGGCCGTGGTGGGTTTTGAAGTTGCAGGAAAGTAAATTTCAGATTGCCTCAGAGGAAAACAAACAAATGAAAAACCCCCATACAGTGTTCTAACAGAATATTGAAGCCAGCAAATGGTTTTCTAGAAAAATTTCCTAACTCTCTTTGGAAGAAGTTAAGAGCAGATCAGTAAAGCGTCTGTTCAGGCCTTGCAGAAGTCTCATCCTGCTGTTGAGAAAGGGGGTTGGAGAAGGTGGTTTCTCAAAGTTTGACTGTTTTCTGTGATATTAGTGCTTTTCTAGAAGATGTATTTTCAGCCAGCTTAGCTGAGTATCTTGGACACGTTAATGATGGCTCCTCTTGCGTTCCTTGCTCAGGCCTTCTCCGAGTACCAGATCCAGCAGATGACAGCGAACTTTGTGGATCAGTTTGGCTTTAACGACGAGGAGTTTGCAGACCAGGATGACAACATCAAGTAAGTTTATACAACTTCAGGAGGCTTATGTGTAGCGTTTAAGCCTCTTTGCTCTAATCTTTCTTCTTCTGGTTCGGGTTTTAAAATGAAGCTCACGGTATGACTCCTTTGGTTCGAAACAAAGGACTGATCAACGGCTTGGAGAGCACCTGACTTTTTTTTCTTTTTATAGGAGTACACCCCAATCTCCAAAGACAGTTGTAGAACCGAGGAAAATTACTTCTTAATTCTGACGAGAAACATTTTTAATAAAACACACAATTATTACCCAGCCATATTCTAGAATAAATTTAATTGCACGGAAAGCAAAGCATTAAAGCTAACTCTAGGCAATTATACAGATAGTCTCCAGTGGCATTAAGTCCTTATTGAAATTAGGAGTAGAAGGAATCGTGTTCTGATGAAGTCCATGGAAAAATTTAGCCATTTTCTCTCTTATGAAAAAGGAAACATGGATAATGCAGGAGCAAATAGCAGTTCAAAGAAGGCAAATATAGGTGGATTTAATGTCATGCGACTTGCTGAATTCCGTGTCCAGAATTTGTGCTGCTTTTACAGGAGAACTCCTGTAATCTAATTAAAACTGCAGCTCATCTTCTCACCTTAAAGGTTGTAGCTGAGGCAGTTCCTGGGACTGTAACTACCCCGCTTGTCCATAATGGCTCAGGAGTTGTAACGATTTAGCTGACAGGTGGCTGACAGAACAGTGCTGCAGGAGGACACCCCGTGCCTTCCCTGCTCCTCGATTCTGCTCCCTTTCACCCTGTGGCCGTGTTTGTCTCAACCAAAACAACCGTTTCTCATCCTGGGTGGCGGGGAGGGCCGGTGGCAGGACTGGCTGCAGGGGACTGCAGCACCCTGGCGTCCTGGCAGCCCGGAGGCCTGCGACGCTGCATAACAACATCTTCGGCTGCTCCAGGGCTGATGTATTGGGGATTCTCTTGCTGGTTTGGCTCGGACTGTATTTTTAGCAACTATGGGCTCTGTGAAATACCTTAAATGAAACGACAGCATGGCAGTAGTTTGGCTGCTTCAGATTTGCCTTCGAGCATGAGTCAAAGTAGAGAGTCGTGAGGTCCTTGGGGCCTTGGGAACTCCACCGAGGTGTTTGCCAAATAGTTGGGAGCTGTCTTCTAACATGGAGAAAGATTTTGGAGTCTACCTTCCCTGTCTTTTTTCCTGACCATTGTAGATGTCAGAATAAGGCCAAAAAGTTCCAGGTTTGAGTGAGAGTTTAGCTGAACGTGGATTGTTTAGTTCTACCCGTTTTTAAAAACTAAAACACACTTTCAACTTCTATCAGATAGGAACAAATACTGGGGGGGTGAAGGGGAAGAGTTAACTTCTGGGAGGAGCTGCTGAAGGAAACTAATGTCCATTCATGAAACTCAACAAAATCTGTGACTGGGGTGTGGTAGGCTTCTCTGTGGTTACATAAGGAGGGATGTGCTGCAGAACGGTCCATGGTTGTGCCCTCTCGTCTGGGCTCCAGCTGTTGCAGATAGGAATTTGAATATTTTAAGAAGTATTAATTCTGTTTCAATGTCCTGGTGATTTACATGACTATTTTTTACTAACTGAACAGTCATCTTCAAAAAAAACAAAAAACAAAACAAAACAAACAAACAAAAAACCAAAAACAACAAAAAACCAACCAAACCCCACTGTTTAAACTTAAAGCTATGTAGATATAGTGAAAAAATACTGCATTAGTAGGTGGGAATTTGTTGACCTGTAGCACCCTCTGCTGTTCTTACAAGAGATTCTCTTAGATCTAAATCACGAACTGGGTTATTGAATGATTTTCGGAGTGTCTTTGTGACGCGTTGGGGTTGTTGAGCTGCTGGTGCACTAAAGATTCCCGAAGTTAATGTTAGAACAGGCAGGTGCCACCCCTTTGGGTGTGTCTGGACATACGCCCGCCCTGCGAACCCAGTATCACTCCTGGGTCAACGTAGGGCTGGAATCCCAGAGCAGCTGGGTGCAGCTCTTTCTCTTTTTAATTAATTATGAGTTTGGGGCTTTTTTTTTCCTCTAAGGTTTGGTCCAGCTGGAGAGACTCATTGAAAAAACTGAAGATAGCCTTTATGCTACATAGGTACCATGAGAGTAGCAAAATAACAGCCAGACATGACATAGCTGGGGTTGCCATGAAGCCCCAAAATACCTTATCAACAAGATCATGACAAAGGTTGTTCATTCAGGTATCGAATCAGACCTAAGACTGAAAATCTGACATAATCTTTGAGATGAAAGAGAGGAAACCATTGTGTGTAATATTCAGGGAACAAAGGCAGAAGGCGCTGAGTGGCCACATGAAGTGTCTCGGTGGTTTGCTGTCCTCTGGGCTTGTGCTGGGGATGCAGAAGGGCTTTGTTACTCTGTGCCATCACTGAAGTGTCTTTCCCTTCTTTTTGCAGTGCTCCCTTTGACAGGATCGCAGAGATTAACTTCAATATAGATGCAGATGACGACAGTGTAAGTGGGTATTTTGGGATATTGCCAAGGTCACGTTGTCGTTTTGAAAGAAGGCTTGGTGTGTTGTGTTGGTCGGTGGAAAGGTGTCTGTGTACTCAGTTAAGGACCTCAGGGCATTACATGTACCCTCAGAGAACCTCCCTACAGTTCATAGCTTTAGCGAGGACCTTCAGAAGTAGGACTCTACGCTGCAGAACTCTTTCTCTCCCTCTCTCTGCAGTGTGAATCTCTTGTCCTTGGTTTTACTTTGATAATCTTTCCATACACAGACTAGGAAAAACTGTAAATAGAGAGGACTGGGTTTCCTCTAAATACTGCCACGCTGTGTCTTGCCTTTTCTGTTTTGTGGACCTAATTCAGTACTTACCAAAGAACCTGGACAGTGGCTCAAAGACTCCAGGCTCATCTCCTGGACAAAGCTTGTTGTCAATACTGAAGGCTTAGGTTTCTTTAGTCTTAAAATATTTTCTTTTTGACTTAAACAGCACTACAAAGATTTTTTTCTTCTCTCTTCTGGCCGCTCTAGACTGTGCTCTACAGATACAGAAAATCTGTTTTCTTTTTGAATGTGCCAGCTAAGCCTTCAGCCCCCAATAGCTGGCTACATGCTTATAACTTGTTTTTTTTCCTGAGTTTTTTTGTGTGGTGGAATTCTAACACACCTGTTGGTTTGGGCTGGGCCCCATCTGCAAGTCCTCACTTACTCTTTCAATTGAGGGATCCCAGAACGCCCAGACAGAGCCTTTGTGTGTTTACACAGACACCTCGCTGTCCTGGTACCTGCAGACTCCTTTCCAAAGTGGAAGGCTGTGTGTTTGAAGGGGAGTTAGGTGTTGTCCTGTTTGCTTAGAAGCTCCCTGTGGTTCTGTTGGGGGATGAAGGCACCGAAGGAGGCGGCACTGGTCTGGGCAGGGCAGTGGGCACACTTGGCGTCCCTTTGGCGTCCCTTTAGCCTCCAGAGTTCCACGCCGGTCCCCTTGCAAGCGTGTTCTGAAGGGAGCTGTTCCCAGCCCCCTCCACAGGCGGTGATCTGTGCCCCTGTGCGGGGTGCGGAGGGAGTGCTGAGCTGCCTCCTGCTGCGTTGGCAGCAGCGTGGGCTCACACGGGGCTCTGCTGCTTTCTTGGGCCGTGGGGTGCTTCTGGGCCGACTGCTGCGGGGGCTCGGCCCTTGCTTCCTGCGCGGCTGGGGACGTGACCTGAAACCACTGCCACCCCCTTCTGGTGCTGTTACCTACAGATGCTGCTCGAGCAACCCCTCGTCACCAAAGTTCTTGTTTCTGTCTCCAGAGAATCAATGGAATTTGATTTCTTTTTAATGCTGTTTCAGCCCAACGCTTCCCTCTTTGAAGCCTGCTGCAACGAGCGGATCCAACAGTTTGATGACAATGAGGAGGAGGAAGATATCTGGGAAGAGAAGGAGATAACCTATGCAACCCAAGTGAAATCAAGAACACGGTAAGGTGAAAACAAAAGATTGATTTCTTTAATTTTTTTTTTCCCCTTCACTAAATGCCATGAAACTGTACATTCCAGTTTAGTGCATGCTTAACTGCTTTTTATTTATGTGCCGTGGGGCTTTTTTCTGGCATAAAGCAGAGTGCTTTCCATGTCATGTTCCTGCAAAGAGGTGGTAGTTGGTCTTGAATGTGAAACAAAGATCCAATCTAAGGGAATGCAACACCTAATTATGTCTCTTACCAAAGATATTTTAAAAAACTCCACCATTAGAGATAGAACTTAATTCTTTCCTCCTATTTGGAGACGAGGAGGTTGAAATTGTAAAACTGAGGGTAGCAGACAGTATTCTTTTTCAGAACGTTAAAAGAAGAAAAGTAATGTTTTGCATGAACGAGTGACCTCATGTGGTGCATCTCTGGCACTGCAAATCACTTACAATTTTTCGTCCCTTTGATATAGCCGGTTATTAAATAAAGTTACCTCTGTAATCCTAAGTCTGAAAATGTGATCAGGTGAGACAGGAAGAATGGCCAAGACCTTAATGGTTATTTGCCTTGTGTCAATGAACTGCACGTCCTGCTCACACCCAGAATTGACACCAGCCTGGTACTCGCTCCACTCGTTTGTCTGCTCCTGTCACCCTCCAGCCCTGAATGTGTCACTGCAGCCTGTTTCCCATCACAGCTCTGCAGATGCATTTGGACAAGTAAAGCACCTAGGGACGGGAGTGGAACTGTCCCGAGGAGTGCCTGCTGCTGCTGAGCTCTGTGTCTTCTGGGGAAATCAGCCCTGTGAAGGGCACTCAGCATCTCTCGGTCGGCTCACAGTCTGTGCTTTCTCCCGGTGCAGGGAGGAAGCAGGTGAGGGGTGGACTGGCTGCCGTGAGGGTTTTTCTCATTCTGAGTCGTGTGGTTTAGATTTGGAGCGTCACAGACCTCAGAGAGTTCATCAAAAAGTGATCTTGAGAATGGAGATCACGACGGCAGCGTGGACTCCGAAGAAGAGGAGGAAACAGAGCAGCAGCCGCCTCCTTCCTCAGCAAACAGCAACAAGAATAATATTTCTGAGCAGAAAGACTCTGACTCCTCTGAAGGTAAAGAGTTTCAAACAGCATCATCCCGTGTGCGATGAGATCTGTAATTACCTCTGCAGAACAGCAGTTTGCAAATTGCCAAGTTTCTGTGGCTATTCTGTAATTCCACCCGGGCAGGTGGGAGTTTTTGAAATATTGGTGAGGTTGAGCCCTGCCCGGCTTCTTCAGAGTAGCAGCGTGATGCTGCAGCTCTGCTGAGAGCCACACGGGTACAAGTACAACACTGCTGGCTCTTCTAGTACAGATACTGCTGAACGGAAGGGCAGTGGAGGGTTATGACGTTCAGTCCTTACATTCTGTTAGGAGAGTTTTATGCAGACCCTTGCCAGGTATCTCACACTCTGTGTATCTGCCTTTTCTGCCGGGCTGCATTTCTAGTTTTAGGTAGCACGTTGTAAATCCATTCGTACAGTGCCTGGAGGAAGGCTGCAGAGGGACAGGGTTTTCCCAGATCCCAGTGCAAATAGTGCTGTGTAAGTTAACAAGACACGGTGTTGTCAGCAGAACAAATTCAGCCAGCTAAACAAAGGGACAAAAATGTTAACGTTCATTCCTTGCTTGGTGCAAGCATTGTCAGTTTAAAAATGTTTCTTTTTCTAGGGGGTGTCTTTGTACTATAACTGTGAGCATAATGCATTCCAGTAATCAGCTCTCTACCCCCATTTGGTAGTGTCAGATGTTTTGAGTTCTTGTTAGGAAGAACCATGATAAAAAACACAAATGGCAACCCGTGGATAGTGTACATCTGTTCAGTTACCCTTCCAGAGACCTTGGTTCAACTTCTGAGTGAGTGTAGACTCGGGGGGTCTCTCCTCCTCTCAGTTTTGTTGCCTGCAAATCAGATTGCAGAACAGACCTCTGCAATCCTTTCTTTTTCTTGAGACAAGGTAATGAAAAGTGCTTTTTAAAAACCTGTGATTTGGGGGAATAGAAGTATCCTCTAATGAAAGGGGAGTAGGCTGGGACTGTAAAAATCAAAATTATGTTCTTAGTTTTGCTGAAGATCACTTCTGTGGTGTTAAACATTTTAATCCATGTGTCAATTCCTTACCTGTAATTATCAAAATGGAACAGTTGATGATTGAAACGGTTGAAAGCCGTGCCACTTAGCTTTTGACAGGAAGGTAAGGTACTTGGAGTTCAGCTGAAAATCACTGGCTCAAAGAATGAAGATGTTCATAATGTCATTTTTCTGAACTGACACGTCTCTCGTGTGGATAACATTAATATTTATCAGAAGAGGGATTTTGGAGCTGGTTGTCTGTAACCCAGGAGGCAGGCAGCTTCCCGTAGCTTCCGAAGGAGTGCCAACGGATGCTCTGTCGTCTTTTGCCTCTGGGATCACGTCGAGTGTTTCTGGGATGGCCGGAGGTTCTGCAGACTCGTGTTCCACCAGTGCACTGTTCTGCCTCCAGGGTCCGGGTGGACAGCGGTGTTCGAGCCCGTGAACTCCAAGCCCCCCGCGCCCTGCGTGGCCATGGACGTTGGCTCGAGCGTGTGGGACTCGGCGGCCCCGGAGAGCACCACACCGGAGGAGAAGGGCTGGGCAAAGTTTACAGACTTCCAGCCTTTCTGTTGGTAAGAGGCACACGTTCCTTCCATTGCTCTGTAACTTTGGAATGAAAGAATATTTGAAATACGATTTGATGGAGTACATTGACTAAAATCTTTTCTTCTTCTTCCCTTTCTTTTCCCCTCGCTACCCCTTTTATTTTTCAATATTGGCTGAGTTTTCTGGATCAGGGCCTCAGACTTTCCTCTGCCTCCCTGTGCTTCTGACCTGTGTTAGTGTTCATGTCTCATGACACAGGAATACTTGAAGTGTCATCACTGCTGCTACACTAGGAGTATAAAATCAGTAAATGAACGTGGTTTTTAGAAGTCACAAATATTTATGTAAAGAAAGGGTAAGGTCTTGTGATGTAGGGAACAATATAATAGCCCTCATGGTATAGGGGATAATGTAATAATTATATATATTCTACATCCCCACTGTAATTATGGGGATATTTGGAAGCACAACCAAGATACCTGTACTTCATTCTCAAGGCTTTTTCCCCCCCTGCTTTAGCTCAGAATCGGGTCCACGATGCAGTTCTCCTGTCGACACAGAAAGCAGTGATTCAGATGGAAACCTGAAGCAGAGTCAAGACAAGAACTGTAAGTGAGAACATTCCAAGACAACACAGATGTGTTATTGAAGCTGTTTGAAATCTTGCATAGCATACCAAGCCTGCGAGGGACAGTTCCCTCCAGTGTCACTTCCCTTATCTTACCTGAAGTCTCTCTTGTACAGAGATCAAGCTATTAATGTAGTAACTCGGAAATCCTGATGTTTGATGGGATAATATTATTCAGCAAAAAAAGGATTAAATTTAAGTTAGTGAGAGTTGATGTCACAGAGATGGTTCATTTGTAAACTCTTCACAAGTCCTGTTTTAACTGTATGCTTGAGTATAAAACTACTTGGCAAAAATTAAAAGGATAGGGTAAGTTACACTGGGTAATTGTGCCAAGCCAGTTGGTTAACTTTGGTCTGATTTCTTTCCCTTCTCCTTTCTGAGCAAGGAAAAATACAATTTAGTGAAGGACTTTGATGGAACTAAATTAAACTTGTGTCTATAATAACCACTGAAGGGGGGATGCTGCTGGAAGAGAGAGCACGGTACCTCTGCCCCATGTGTGCTCTGCAGCTGGAGATGCAGTTCAGGAGAGCTCAGGCTGTTTGGGGTGACAGTGTTGTGTGCCCACGTTGTTTGTGTGCCCAGTGCTGTCGGGCGCTGGCCCTCACACCAGGAGGGGTGACAGGTACCAACCTGGGGAAGAAAAACTTCCTGAGACTGCAACACTTCTTACCACTTCCACGAGAGGCTTTTTCCTTGCCAGGCACGCACCTGGAATCCAAACCAGTGAACACCTCAAAAAGCTGCTTAAATTATACCACAGCGAGTTCTGAGGGCGAAGTGAAGTTAGCAGGGACCCCAGGGACTGTTGTAACTCTCCGTTCAGGCTCATCACCATTCAGCAAATGAAAGAAATGGTCTCCCCTGCTGTTTGTGTTAAACACAGACGGGAGGTGGCAGGTGGAGAACACTGATTTGTGGGGTTGTTATTTCTCCTTCCTTGTAAAAAATAATATTGCATGCTGTGGGATCTGATCAGAAACCATCTTCTCAAAATCTGCAGTAGTTGTAAACCCTCCCTTGTACACCACCCTGCTTACTCAGGGTCATACCTGGGGAGGTGTTCCCATGGTTTTGTTCATTTTGCAATGTGAGTTGTTCCTTTTTCTCAGTCAGCGCTGCCTCTCCCTGCGTTTGGAACGTCTGTGTCACGAGGAAAGCGCCGCTGGTGGCCTCGGACAGCAGCTCCTCCGGGGGCTCCGACAGCGACGAGGAGGAGGACAAAGCCGATATCGTCACGGAAACCATCAGCACGGGCTCGGGGCAGGAGACCGTCAAGCTGACTGTGGATGCTAAAAACGAGAAGGCTGTTTTCACCAGGTGCGAAAGGGATCTCCTTGGGCCGGGGTCCTGCTCTGCGTTTACCCCTCGTGTGGCTCGGGGATAATGTGTTACGTGTCCCTTCCAGACAGCGTGGGTCCAGGTGTCCCGTGTGAGGGTGTCCTGCAGCTTTCTTGTCGCAGGGGTTTTGTTGTAAGAAAATACGACAGGTTTATTTTAAGAAAAGTGTGGCTGATTTTAGCTGCCGAGGCCTGTCGCGGGCTCGTGGCCCGTCTGTGTCGGGCTGCACAGGAGGCCGGGGCCGGGCTCGGGGCCGGGTCAGCTGGCCCAGGCGAGCGGAGCGAAGCCTCACGCGGTGGCACCTGCAAGGTGTGGCACGGAACCCGTGGGTGCTGCTGTGGGGGGGACACTTACACGCCTCAAGCTGTCGTTTTCTTCTCAAAGTAGTACATTATAGACAATAAATGATGAAAAATTCAAAATGCCAGGAAAGGTCCAGCAGATCCTGACATCTGTTACACTTTGGACAGCAATTTGGGTGGAATCACAGTGCTCGAATCTGGCCATCTTGAACAATTTGAGAGGGAAATTGCATTTCAGAGCAGTAAGCATCCAGTTCCCTTTGGTGCATCCAGAAGGTATTACCCAGTTGTAAGATACTTGTTTTTTTTTCCTCGTATTCCTTACAAATATATAGGGTATGATAGTTGCAGCCCCTGTGTTTTCTGCATCTGACTCAGGAACAGGTATTTACTTTTTGTGATGTGACTTTCTTGGGTAGTCAGTGTGAGCACGTTGAGCGCCTTTGAGTGGGTGCTTGGCACGTGCCCACACCCCGCAGATAGCTACTGGGAGTTAAAAAGTGGTGGCTGAGGAAACAAGTGGGCTCACAGCACTAAGGGAAAGGATGGAGGCAGTTGGCAAAGGTCCGTTCGGTTACGCAGCTCTGAATTGAGTTTTTAATAAGGTGGCTTTTTTATTGTTGATGCCCACCTCCAACGCCCTTTGGTGTCCACCCTCGGAAGGGGTGAGATCCCTGGGATTCTCTGCTCCCAGTGATGGCACCTGAGAGCTGGGCTGCTGGAGGGAGTTAGTTTGTACACGCAGGGCTGGCTTCACCAAAAAATGAAGGCTGAGGAGAATAAGAATACTGCCTGCTGTGCTAAAAGCAGCATCCCCTTTCCAGTTTTCTGTGTACTTGAATTATGTCTAATTAAACCCATTGGCATGTGTATCTAAAACAAAGTCTGTGCTCCAGATGATTTTCCTCTCTGCTGTGAGTCGAGCAGCCTTACACATGTGACTGCCTGGATTCACAGTAGCAGTGTAAATCTTACTTGGCACGTTCTTACATCTTCCATTCATTTCCTAGCAGGTAGGAATTTTTTTTTTTTTTTCTGATTTGGCTGGCTAGATGTTGTGGGCCATGCTGCTGTTTTCAGGCAGCATAATTTAAAATGTGTTTTTCTCTCTTCAGTGAGAGAAACTCTCTCTAGAGCACTTTCAGTAAGGACAAGGCTTCCAGAACCTGCTTGGATTTGCATGATTGCAGTTCTACAAAACTAATTCTGTTTTGGCAAAAAAAGTAAATACTTGAGTAACCACAGTCTCCACTTTAAAGGTGTCTGGCTTTCCACAGCTATAACCATAGCCAGCAATCAAAGTAGAAGCTGTAGGAAGACAGAAACCTGTTAGAAGGATGGTGATTTCAGCTGCTCCAGGTCTGTTTTGGAGCCAGGTGTCTCCTGGTGTATGAGCTGCCATCTTGACCAGTGATGATAATGGGAACTTCCCAGTATCCTCAGCTTTCCCAAACCAGCCTGCCTTCTCTTGGAACAGGTGCAGTTAAACAGCCAGCAGTGAATATATTCACTTCTTACCATGTGCCTTAATGATTCCAAGGAGATGAAATATGCTGAAAGTTTAAGAATATTTTGGATTGACTGTGTGCTTCTTGATGACCTTCTACGAGCACTTCCCCAGAAGTGCTAAACTTGTACCAACCCACATGCTATTTCTGCAGAAACAGGTCTTCCTTCTCCTTCCTTCCCCTCCCTGCAGTACTGAAACCTACAGCGGAGACCTTCGACACTCCTTGAGCCACCCAGGGACTCTGTAGATTCTGCGGTCACCAGGGACGTGCAAGCTCCAGATGTGCAGGGCATGTCCCTAAATGCCCTCCATGATCATCTTCTCAGCTGCTGACGCTCCTGCCCATAGCGCCCCAGAATTTAAACTCTGGGAAGTCAATGATTTGTCCCTGCATGGTGCAGTAGAATGTCCCTCGTGGCAGCTCTGCTTAAACTGTGACTAAGAACATGGGTTACCTTAAACGTCATACTGAAGAAAGTGTTTCAGATGTCTTTAGCTAATTTCTCTACTTTAAATGTATTTAGCTAACTTTCTTTCCCACACCTAATTCTATGTGGTAGTTTCTTGTGAAAAAGCAAGTCGTTTTGCAGAAGTTCTCTGACTAAAGTGCTTCCAGTATTGCCAGCTCCCGATAACTTCAGAATTCATATGTTAGGCTTGAGAAAAACTTTTTTTTTTTACAGTGTATTGAATCTTTTGCTTTTTGGGTATATTGATCTGAATTTTATGTGGAAAAAGCCGTATTCACTGACTGTACTCTTTCAAATAGTTTTTTGACTGTTCCTGCATGTTCTGCTGGCAGGAACAGCGCTTGGGGATACGGTTGTGAAGTTAACTCTTTTGTCTGTTTTTTCAGCAATCTTTACTGTTTTCTTTCTCTTCCCTTCTTTGCTTTCTCTCTATTTCTGCCTCTCTCGCTGCCCTTCTCTCTTGCTGTGGGTATTGCTCAGAGTATTTAGACCTGCAGTCAGAGGGTATGTATGACACTGACCTTCTCAGGGTTCCAAACATCCACCTGACAAGTAGTTTCTCCCATTTGTTACTTCATACTGGGCTGGAAAAAAAGAGCTGTTGGGCCGTTGGACTGGAAAAGCTCATCTTTTCACAGTCAGCTAAAACAGATCCTAGAAATTCGATTTGGAAAACCTGAATTTGAGGTTGTGTGTCTTTGTGCACGGTCAGCAGAGCCAGTGGCGAACCATTGAAAAGCAAAATACAGTGTTCAGTCGTTCCACACATCGTGTCCTTGAGCTTCTGCCATTCCACCTGTTTGTGAGCTCTTTCTGCAAATAGGATTTTTTTTTCCCCCCTTTATTTTAAAAGGAAAGGTTGTGCTCTGGTCAGGATGACTGTAGGACAAGCCCGGCCGACTGCAGTTTGCTAAGGCACACGCTGCTGGGCTCGCTCCTGCGCTGCCTGGGGCAGTGGACAAGGCTCTGGAGACTTTCTCACAACAGCACTAACAAATATGTCACTTGTATGCTGGAATACACCACAAAGTAATGGTTGATGTGTTTTCCAAAGGCTTTTTTTTAAAAAAAAAAAAAAACCCACTTTTTTCTTTTTCTTTCTGTTTTAAATTGTGGGGTTTTACTGATGATTTTCTATAATTCATCCGTACAAATGAATTTTCCCAGTCACTGCACAAACCGGCAAAAATCTGCTGTAATTTCCAGATGACTGAAAAAAGAAAAAAAAGAAAAAAAAAAAAAAAAAAGAAATTCAGTGTAAATAAGGATGTCTCATAACTGTTTGGTTTGAAGAGGAGCACGGTACAGCAGACAGGCACGCTTTCAGATCCGGAAAGGACAGAAACCCCCTCCTGACGACTCAGAGCAGGAGCTTCAGGGAACGCGGCTCTGCGGGGGCCTGCAGCCTCCTGGGGCTGAACGTTCGGAATTGTAAGCTGCGTGCTATTTTAAAATAGTTGTAATTACAACACGTACTCATTTAACTTCCTATATTAATAATTAACAATGTCATTTTAACAAACTTTTGAAAGTTTTCTGCCTCTTTCGTAAGCAGGCGAGTACCTGTTGTGTTTATCTGGCAGCACGTGCTATCGGGCTGTGCTTTTTGCCAGCAAAGTGTAATATCCGAGAGGCTCAGCCCGTTCCCGAAGCTGCTCAGAGCGAGCTGGGAAGGTCTCAGAAGTGTCTGCGGGGCTCTGCTGAAGTCGCAGAAGCCGTCGAGGACGGGGACGGGCACACAGAGCAAACAGTCATGAGACCTGCACCGGGGGGGCGGAACGGCGGGCACAGGAGCGGGCGCACCACGGGCAGTGCTTCTTGTGGGAAGGGACTTGCATTTCTGGGTCTGTGTGGAATTAACCCAGCATAAAGAAGAAATGCAAAAGCTTATCTCAAGTATTTCACTGCTGAGTTGTTCAAATAAGGCTTCTAAGCAGCTCCTTAAAAGATGAGCTGTGCTTAAAAAGAAATCCAGCTTTTGCTGTGTATGGTGCTAGTGGGCTTGGGATGTTCTTAACTTTTAATTTCTCTTTCAGTTTATTAACTTCACCTGCAATGCTTTTTTTCCCCCTTTAATCTTTCTCTTTCTTTTTTTTTTTTTAAAGTGGTTGAGTATGTTTATTGTCTACTTCTCCCTAGTGCCTCCTCACCCCAGTAGCTTGGATAAGCAACTGAAAAAGGAAGTCTAGAGGGGAGGCTGGAATCCATCTGAACAGTAGTGCTTGCTATCTGTTAAAAACAAATATATTTCTTCTGTGTCTGTGTGATGCCAGTTCTCATTTAGAACATTCTTCAGCTTTGGAGGCAGACACTGTAGGTGCTGCAGCGGTTTTCTTAGAACTGAGGTGAAAATGAGACACTTGCAATTTCTGCATTTTGCAGAGATTTCTCCAGTTTTCCTGCATTACAGTTTCTGTAAAAATCACTGTAAAAGTCTCCTCTCCTTTCTGCTCATCCACGGTTCTGGGACAAAAGTACTTAACTTTTGTCCTAACAGCAGTGACAACCCTAAATTGCTGAAATAGCTCAGAAATAGCAGCTGGCAGTGGTTCCTCCCATTGCTCTGGGCATGGGGGCCGGGGGTTCCCCCCCCCGGGGGTCCATCTGGGGCGGCCGTTGCATCGGCTGGCACTGAGCAAGGAGTTTCGGTGCAGCGCCCACTTACACGCAGCAGAGAAAATAATCCTCCAGTTTCCCAAGCTGAATGGAGTGACATTGTCACCGTGGATGTTTTGAGCTCTCCCATCGGGGATACGTTTCTCGTTTCTGTTTGTCTCGCATGACGCTCGGTTTCACCATTGCACGTGATGAGCATGAAACGTCGGCACGAGAAGCGGTTGTCTTGCTTGTGTCTCCCCTTGCTGCCTGACCTCAGAGGGCTGCTGGAATGCTCTGAACAGATGATGAGGGGAAGGGAGCGTGCTGCGGGAAATGGCATGGAGCACGCGGCACCGTTTTTGTAAAATTTGGCTGCATGTCAGCGTATATTTGTTCAGAAAGATGCATAAAAGTGACTGACATGAGCTCCCGTTTCACCAGAAACCTTTCCAATCAAACATGAACACTTAGTACAATAATGGGCCTAGATGGGATCTTTTAAGCTGACAGAAGTGTTGGCCTTTTTAATTAAGATTGCACGTAAATTGGGAAGCCAGACCTCCCATGCTGTGTGACTCTGTCTAATGAACAGCCAAGCAATACTCGGGGAGTGTGCTGAGGAGCGTGGCTGGAGCGTGGCTGCCCTCTTTGTCTTTCCGTTGGTCCTTCGGAGCCTGGTTTTGAAGAACTTGCCTGTGGGCTCAGCATGAGACTTGTGTTTATGCTTTCATACCTGCCTTGCTGCTGTGTTTATAGTACCACTGTTTTACCTAGTGTGTCTTCACCCTGTTTTGTTGTCTGTGATACTAAATGTTTACCAAAGAGACTAGAGGATATCTAAAGTGTATCCCAGGAGCCACAGTAGTGAGCTTCAGAGGTGGGTAGACCTGCACTCTAAGGCTGTTTCAGTATCACATCCTTCTTCCCTGCAATACCTAAAGCTCTCTGGTCGTTTGGGACTGCAGCCCGAATTCTTTATCGACCCTTTGGTCGTGAGACATAGATCCGTTCTGCCCTTAGCGTCAGGAGGAGCTGTACTAGGTGCTGCAGCCCGCGGGTTGCCATCGGGTGCTGCAGCTCAGAGTCAGTTTGGCCTTTCAGAGCCACCAGCAAAGCTCTTTGGTGTAATTTTGTCTTGCCAGGTCTGAGAGGCTCTCGGTAAACAGAGCCCTGGGCAGACAGGGTGAGAGCATGGTGCGTTTTGCAGTAGTGCTATCAAAAAGGAGTTTGCAGGGTGAAACTGGGCAGAAGAGTTGTTCCAAAAATCACACCGCTGAAGGATTTTCTCTGTAAAGCTGGTGGAAATGTACAGGAAGAACCGAATTGTTATCAAAAGTTAAGCGAGCTCCTGACATTTACATCTTCATAAATAAAGAGCGTATCGCTTTGTTTGAACTGGGTATCAGTTTTGATACAGAACGACAACTTCGCGATGATGAGGTGTGAAATTTGTTGAACCCTGTTTTTCAAAGAAGACTTCAGGACGATAGTTGTATCGTTAGCTTGAGGAAGCTTTGCATTTGCAAGATTTTGGCTTTAGAGCACAGAAGAATGAGCACCCGTTGTGTAGCACCTCAGATCTGGGATGAGGGTATCGAATATTCTTGGTCTCATGTTTTGCATGAGAAGGTGACACCTTCCCCAGAGGCGGCTGGAAGGGTTTTCTCAAGTCCCTTGTCTAAAGCAACGTGTGTGCTTTAGGGAGGGGTCGCTGGAAGCCTCCCTGAAACCAGACACTGCTCTGTCACGGCTTTCTGTGGCTGCTTCTCCCCTGGTGGTTGACGTGAACAAAAAGCTGTTGGCGTTTCCCGGTGGCGAGGCAGTGTCTGTACCTCGTGTGTGCGTGTGTTTTGCACAGATACTGGTGCTTTCACCACAAGTGTTTCCGTAGCCTGCCTCCTCTGGTACATCTACACATCAGTTAATGTGAAATAACAGCTTTGGAAGAAGTAGCATTTTAAATACTTATTAGCTTAAAATGATTATTGTAATTTATCACATAATCATTCAATCCGAGTGCTTGGCAGTACGCGTCACCCAGAGATGTGGTTGTACCTGCCTCGAGGAACTTGCTGCCTTAAAAAACGAACCATAGAGGACGTTTAAGATATGAAATACATCAGGTAACACATCCCGAAGAGCAGGAGAATGACTGAGTTGTTTCCCTTTCACTGTCTTTGCCATCCTCTGCCGTGCTTCACGGCAGTCTGTGAAATGTGTTGTTGGAGGCTGTTCCGAGTCCGTCACCCTCCCGGGACAGTGGCCACAGCTCACCAGCCCCACGGGGAGGTGGCCCTGGCAGGAGGACTCTGCCTGTGCCTGGGACAGCACACAGGTGTTTACCCTCCCGGAGACTCGGGCTGGTTACCTGCCTGCTCTCTGCCCTAACTGACCAGGCAGACCACTGCTGCCCCAATGTTCCTTCTGCCTCTGGACCCCACAATTATCATCTTGAAGTTCTCCTGCAGGCGCCCCGCTGCCCGAAGGCCAAGCAGACTCTCCTGTGGGGGATGCTTCGAGCTGAGCCGTCACACCGCGGTGAAGCACGCCGGGGTAGCGCTGCCGAGCCCGTGCTCACCAAGCACCCAGGTGGGAGAACACCCCCAGGCTGTGCCAGGGCTGTCCCGGAGCAACCACCCGGGGATCAGGAGGCAGCTCCGACTTCATGCAAACTCTGTTCTAACCTTTTAGACGTGAAAGTGGCTGAGCCTAGTAACGCAGGTTGTATCCTCTAGTCTTACGTTCTGCTGAGACTGAAGAGTTTGGACGTTCAGCTTGTGCTGGGGTGGCGAGATCCCTCAGGAAGCACACTGCAGGGCTTGGAGAAAGAGAGGAGTTGTAACAAGTGACCTCTGGAGCAGTATTTACAAACTCGGCAGTTAAGCTGCAGAATTGAGCTGTGGTGTTGAACTTGGTGAACAGAAGGGAAAATTGTCCTGGCTCTGGGGTTGGAAAGCCCAGTGGGCATGGCTGTAGGTGACATTTACAAGTGCGTTGTGCTGAGTGCCTGTCCGTGGTGAAGAAAGACAGCTCTGGACAGACTTACGCTTGGTGTTGGAAAATTTGTACGAGTGGCTTTGAATTGGAGCTTAAATATTCCTGATTCTTTCTGGAGCGGGGAAGCATTAGAGATCTGTTAATGAGGAAGGGTCTGCAGTAGATTCAGATGTTGTTGCTGATAACTCTCTTCCTTAGCCTGCCTCGACCAGCCTCCTGAGAGAACAGTTGTATCCTTGGCGGGTAGGGCTCGTGCCGGATGGGTGTTGAGGGAGCACAGCTGGCCAGAGGAGTACCAGTGCAAAATATCTGTAGGTACGAGAGTTTATTCTAGGCTAGACTTAGATACTGTCATCAGCCCTCCTGCCTGGGTCACAGTTTTCTGTGTTCTACACAAACTCCCTGTTTTGTTTGACCCCGTCGGTCTGGCCTGGAAGAGCCTCCTGCAGGGGTTTGCGTGTCCAGCTGTGCCTTTCCGTGAGCCTGTTGAAGAGTTTGAAAATTTCCATGCCCCCCTTAGTGGTCACGTAACCTCAGGATTTCATAACGCTGGAATCCTCGTGTCATGGAAATTTTAGGGATTGAATTGAAGAAGTTTATCTTTGAGCAATTTAAATCTCACGAGCTCCAGTTTCTTGTGTGGGAAGCCATTTTCTAATGACATTTCTGGCAACTTAGTTCAATTCTCTGCTGTCTCATCTATCCCCTGCTGTCTCTCTAAGGTGTATTTTTGTACTTGCAGTATTTCTTTTTAAGAGCATGTTAGCCCTTTAGGAAGATAAATGTTTTGATCTCATGACTCTTCATTTTTATGTGTTTTTTTTCAAGAGCACACAGAAAAGTAGCTACAGAAATAGAACTTTGATCTCAAAATCGCTGTCACATGTCTTAATTACCAGACTGTGATTATATGTATGCATTATAAACTCACCCCGCAGCTGGTGACAGGATTCCAGCTCGGTCATCTACTGAGCTTTCCTTCCAATTTTGCAGGCTTGCTCTCTGAAAGGAGAAGAAATTGTTCTTGAAACTGGGGCTGAGTTATAACTATGAGGAGGATCATTCCCATGCAAGCTTGTCCTCTGCCTTAGAAGGCAAAAAATAGAGATATTCGTGGAAATCACTTCTCCAGTTAGAAATACGAGTCTTTTTAATACAACCTGAGACGGTTTTGAGGTTTTATGCTAGCAGGATTTTTCCTTTTTCAGGATTTGAGCTTCTTTTTTTTTTGTAGGGAGACATCATTGGAAATGTTGTCCCTCAGGCGTGGGATCTGTCGTCTGACGTGATACTGAAAGCGAGTTAATTTAACCGTGTTTGGCTTCTGAAGTTACCATTCCTGAATCTCCAGTCAACTTTTTCTTCCTCAGGATTTTAGGTTCTGTACCTAAATTTAAGTCTTTTCTAGGTGCACACAGAGGTATCAGGTGCTACTTGGGAAAAACTGGTAGAGCAGAGCCACGTGGGTACCTGTGTGAGATCAGAAATGCACTCTGCCAAAACCAGCAGTTTAAGGAGCAGCAGGCTTGGAAATCTGCTTGGTGGCCTTGGGAATGGGGGGCAGTCCAGGAGAGGTGGGCTCCTCCAGCCTGCTTTGCCCCCGAGAGGCTGGACCAGAGGGTCTCTGGGGTCCCTCCAGCTCGGGCTCTCCTGTGGTCCTGTGTTCTGGCGCTGACAGTCTCTGCTCACTGCTGAGACAAACAGTCTGCTTTCCGCTCCCCGCAGCACACTTGGCTTTCTGGACCCTCTGAACTTGCAAAGTCTTGGCCAAATGTGCTTCACGTTTGCATCCTTCTGCTGTTTGTTTTCTGCGTGGGTCGGTAGGAGAGCACACTGGCAGAGGTGGTTGCAGAGGGTGGTAAAATGTTGGATTCCACGGGGAACTCTTAGGGCAGATTTTGCTGCAGGAAATGGGAATGCCTTTCTTGAGGAGCTGTTCTTGTGCATATTTGGTGTCTTGTTGATTTCTAGGAAACAACCTCCAGGATACGTACACTGCTTTTTAATTCCAGTTTACTTTCAGTTCTTAGTCCTTTATGGGATTTTTGTGGCCTGTGCTAGGAGAGGAGGAGGAATATTTTTTTTTCTCCGTTGGAATTTAAGCCCCATTAATTGACGTTTTAACATGAACTTGAATTCTCCCCACACAGTGATGCAGACTGCATGGTTATTGATAAGCTGGCCATCACTGACATCGGAACGACAAAAGCACCCAAACCCCTGAACAATGTGGCCCAGCACTCGGAGGAGCTCCAGAACACTGCTGCTGTTGTCACAGCCGTCACGGAAACGGCCACAAAAGACAGGTGAGATGGTTCTTACTGGGTCAGTAAATGTGGTGGTTGTACCGTGAGGGTGCAGCCAGAGTTCCGCATCTGAGCGTCTCGGGGTACGTGACGCTGCAGGTCGTGAAGAGCTGCTACTGCCATACGCTGCTCATACCTTTCAGCTTCCCAGAAGCACTGTCAAATGATCAGTTTTATTTACAAAATGGACTCTCCATTTGTTACTCATGCATAAGTAGTACTCAGCTAGTGTGGGTTTGTGTGTTCAGTGAACGTACAGACATTTACAGGTAAAATATTATGGGGAAATGCAGGAATGTTTTGATAACTGAACCTGGAAGGGATCTTAAGGAGAAATTATATTAATAATTTTTTGTGAATGTGACAGTTTAGGTCTTTTTTAATATGGAAACTAATTCTTCTTCGGGTCTAGTGCTCTCACCTCCACAGCTTTGCTCTGGCTCCTGGTTTTGGCCAGAGAGATGCGTGTCCATAACCAGGTGCCTCTGCTCTGCCTGGGCTAAGGGTGGCTCCATCCTCCCGGAGCAAACTTGCTGTTAGATTAAATCTCAGACGTGGTGCTTAGCTGAAGCCACACGTCTGGGCCATCCTACGGGAATTTCTTCTGTGAGGTACCATGGTGGGAGGAGGAAGCTCTAATCAGCACTTGGAGCTTTGTGCAGCCGATGGGCTCCGTTACAGCTGGTCCCTGCTCCTGGCACTGTGGCCTCGCACCTCCCTGGTACAGCCACTGCTCTGTGTGTCTGAGCCCGCCATTTACACCACCTCACACAGCCCCTGTGTGTCTGAGCCCGCCATTTACACCACCTCACACAGCCTCTGTATGTCTGAGCCCACCATTTACACCACCTCACACAGTTCTAGTGCTGGTGTAACTCACACTGGGGAGGAAGTCGAGCATCCCATCAGGTTGTTGTTCTGGCTGCTGCACCCCGGGTGCTGTCAGGGCTCTGGGTGCATCAGCAGGCGCAGGGAGTTGAGCTGGGGGATAAAAACCCTGAGAGCAGGAGCCTGAGAGCCTGGCCAGTGGCCATGTCCCGGGGTGAGACGGGGAGTCGAGTCAGCAGAGACCTAAACCCCACTCCCGGGCTGGGGGGGAGGCCCCGGGTGAGGCTGGTCAGGCCACCTCCGTCAGGTGGAGTCGGGGCCCTGGTGGTTGTGTCACAAACTTCTGGTTCAATAAATTAATCAGTGTTGTGTAATCAGTGGTCAACGCTGACTTCTCAGTTTCTGTTTTGATTTCTAAATGTAGCGTTTTGTAACGGACTTGGAGGAGGCTCTCATTAGGAAGCAAATAATGTTTTAGCAGACAGAAGAAACAAAGCTAGAAGAAGGATGGCTCAGATAGTGCCAAAGAGGGAAGTTTCCAACCAGGATGAAAGTCGGCTTCAGGAGCGACGATGTTCCAGGAGTCACAGGTTTCTAATCCTCCTCTTTGGGTTTCTCCTCAGGAAAGAAGAAGTCTTGCCCTGTGCTGAAGCCACATTAAATGGCCCTGCTTGATGAAACAGATGCAATGGGACGTGTGTGATCCAGGCCAGGCTGCTACCTGGTGATGCAATTTGTCAATTTTTTTTTTTTCATTTTAATTTTATTTTTTAATAAATGCTGCATTGATGAGAGAGCTGGCATTCAGGACCAGACATGCAGTTTCAACACCAACAATCTGTTCTGAAAGACACTTGCATTGTCTAAATGTAGCATTGATCAGTTAGTCATCACAGGAATGATGGGGTTCTTCCCAAGCAAGCCTTCTGCCTAATTTTAGTTCCTTGTCCCCTTCCCTCTCTCCCTTGTTTTTGTTTTGTATTTGGGGTTCAGTCCTATTTTCTTAGTGTTATTGCACACAGTATTCAGCTTCTCTTCAGAAAGGTAGCAGGTCTAACGCTGGGACTTGGACAGTGCACAAGAGTCCCGCAGTCGTGTGACCAAAGTTCCTGATGGAGCTGTCTTTGGGCAGCATTTGCACCGCTTTTGTATAGCAATAAAGCCTTATCAGAAACATTTCATAGGAGGAAAAGATGCAAACACTTTAAATGGGATGAAGCAGGGAGGGATTTTATTTTACATTTTTGTGGGGTGGGAGGGAAGTCGTTGGCATTGTCCCAAGCCAGAGGCCAAGTAGCTAATTTGCTGTGATGCTGAACTGTCTTTGAGAAACGGGAAGTCTCTGCGTTGGGGTGAATTGCTCGGTGCTCTCCCCTCTGGAGACGCAGCAGTTGGCTGCCGGTTCGTGGGGCAGTTAGCCACTGGCCTCTCTGCCCGGGCCATCAGAACTCAACTCCCCGATGTTGTCCTCCCTTGGCTGGAGAGCACGCCGAGAAGGTGGCATGGTGTTTGCCAGCTGAGAGGCTCGTGATCCACTGGACTGCTGCCGTGCAGGAGCGAGAGCAGATATGGCACAAACAGGTTATCAGGTGTTTGCTGGCTTTTTGGAGACTAATGTATTTTCAAATTATTATGGAAATCCTTTTCTGTTTGTTTTGTTCTGTTTTTAAAGTTTTTAATGGATGCAGGAACAGCAACACTTTTGCACTTTGTACCTAGTGACAACATTGGAGAGTGAAACGGCCCCAGCACAGGACTCCTGCTGTTACTCCCCAGGTAGTCAGTCACGGAGAAGTTTGGGGCGGGGGGGCCGGGGGGGACACTCGTACCGCTGCCTGTCGAGTGACGCAGTGCGCAGAACCGGCCTGCGCTTCCGGCTGCCCGGGAGCAGGGTCAGGTGAGGGTGTGTACTCGACTCTGGGACAGAGGATCTTCCCGTAGGCGAAGGACGACCCGCTCTGGGCAGCCCGTCCCCGTGCGATGTGGGGCTGCACGGGGCGGTGCTGGCCTCTGCCCTGAGCTTGTTCCCGGGCCGGCCTCGTGCACATCGAGCATACGGGTGTAGATGTTGGGCCACTTGCAGGAGCTGGCTCGCGCTGGGGAAGGCAGGTGGCCATGGCCAGTGCTCCAGTGCTTGTTCTCAACCCCCTGTAGTCTAGATCCGGAGCTGGGCCCGCTTTTGTGTGTAAGCTGTATGCTGAAACCCACCTGTCAGATGTTAAATGCCGCTTATTTTATTAGTCCAAGACCTAAGCTGGAAAATCATTCACTTTGGAATAAAAGCATGAAGCTTGACACATAGGTAGCCAAATAGCTTATTTTCAGATATATTCTCACTTGTGCATAACGAGGGACTTTACCCTGTGAGTATGAAAAAGTACCTCACACAGATCTGTTGTTACGAGCA